CGCGTGTACGTGCGATGCACCGCTGCGTTGCGATACGTCGAACTATGCCACGAGGCATCTCGAGGCGCAGTGCTACGTGGTGCAATGTATTCTGAATTATTCATGTGCCTGTAATTCGTATCATAAAGTATATTATATGCTTGTTTATACGTTGAAAACGGAGGCTAAAGCGAGTGAAATCGCCGCTAGGGGCGCTAGTATATCTGAGGCACAGAACTCTAAGCCAGATTTATATTTGTATAACGTGTTGTGTCGTGCTCTGATGTCATGAGCAAGCGTTCACATCTATATGTCGCGGAACTGATGCCTTCTGACGATATTGTTAAACAGTACTTTCATAGCGTATATTTTTAAATTATGAGAAATATTGAATTAATACTTCTTTTATTATATTAAAAGATGCTACAAATGATTTAATTTTGAATTAATTTTGTTTCAATTATGGATATAAAGTAATTTTTAATATATTTTTTTTTATAGATAGTAACTCGTAAGTTTTAAATAAAATGTAATTAAATTTTGGATTGGTGCTGTTTGATTTTACGTTTCACTTGCATCATGGTTTCATAAAACCACACATATTTTTATACTAAATATCGATTTTAAATTTTGAACACATCAATTAATTAAATAGGCAGCGTACCTGACGTTTGTTTATAATTATTTCCTGATTAAAAGCATATAACACAGATAATTTTTATAAAGTTATATCACCTAGAGCAACGCGGCCGACGCGGTGGCCAGGAGGGGAGTAAACATTCACAGCGTTCCCCTCTGTCGATTTTCACCTGCTGTTGGGCCAGCTCAAAAACAAAACTAGTAGACTGACTCAAGTCGCTCGAGTGTATGTTAGAAATCAAAAATTCCAAAATGTTATGTTATATGCTGTAAAACATATCTGTAATATAAACTTACAAAAGGATGGTGTTAAATTTCACATATAAGTAGAAATATTAACGTATTATTTATATTTAACCACTTTTAAATACAAAATTCATATTATTCTGTTAAAATATTGTATTTGTCGGACTTGTTTAACAAAACAATCGACACTTGTCGTAACACGTAACGCTTTCGCCAGCTTACCTTTCCCCCTGCCCTCCGTCAAGCGTACGTAGAGAAGTTTCACTCCAAAAATCTTAAGTTTCATTCTATACCCGATTTAGCGCTGTCATTTTTTATGTGTGAGTGTCATAATTACAATTTCGTTTTTGCAAAGTACGTTAGTAGACTGCATTTGTGTGCTTATTCCTCCCCCCGCAAAAAGCAGCAGAATGAATTCAGTAGTATTACGTTATTATGGCTACTCCCTTCCTAGCCGTGTCGGCTGTGTTGCTCTATGTTATATCCAGGTCCGTGGTAACATCATTATAGAGTTTATTAGGGAGCTTGTGGAATTAAAGGTTGTTACGATCCAATTAAGCGAGGGAGGAAAACGTTACATTACAGAGCGTAACCTGTAATTATAAAATCTGTTATATTTTGCTACAATTTTTTTTATCAATGCGCATTTACTGTTGGCAGTGTTGTGTCGAGGACGAAACTCGAATTTATGTAGTACAGAGGAATGCTCATCAGTCGTCACTCAGGGTTAATGCTCGTTACAATAACGATGTTATGTTACCTTGTAACGTAATGCTCAAAATCCAATCTAAAATGTTAGGGTACGGCCAGAGCGCACTCAGATTCAGATTCAGACTCAGAAAACAAGCGCGAGAAATAAACAGTGTAGTCTAAGCAGGTTGCCTGCTGCCACTATGGCAACCCTGGGCCCCATGGGTGGCCATAGTGGCAGCAGGAAACAAGCGCGAGAAATAAACAGTGTAGTCTAAGCAGGTTGCCTGCTGCCACTATGGCAACCCTGGGCCCCATGGGTGGCCATAGTGGCAGCAGGCAACCTGCTTAGACTACACTGTTTATTTCTCGCGCTTGTTTTCTGAGTCTGAATCTGAATCTGAATCTGAGTGCACTTTGGCCGTACCCTTACATTAAGTTACAGGTGAATGCTCCCGGTGAAGTAACACCACCTAAATTCCTCTTTGCTGTATAGCGTAAATAAGATAGTGAGCTTCATAGGCGTGCTCAGATAACTAGTTATTATTCTGACATAGCGTAGTCTAAAAGCGCCTACTGACATTCCTTCTGCAGGGACAATCTAGGGTGCACGGCGATCGGCCCAATATCGGCTTGTCTCTACGCACATGCCTGCTATTCAGTGTTCGGGCGTATGTTGAGCTAAACACACGCGTTGATGATGGTCCCAGTGTTATCAAAAAATATGTTACCGTAAAAAAGGAAATACTGGGTGAAGAATTGGCAACAGAAAGAAATGTATTGTAAATAAGTAATGTTTATGATTAGAAAAAAAACCACGCGGACCTGGCAGCAGACGGGACTTGAGCCCGCACTCTTCGCTATCCAGGCGAATGCACTGATCAATTATGCTACCGCGGCCCTGACGGCCGTATCGAATTATTTCTAGCCTTTCTTAAGCTGCAAGGCAGCGCCATCTCTTAGCATTATATGTAACCCACAATGTCAAATGAATACCTTTACAAGTATTAAACATTTAAAAGAAGAAATAGCAATTAAAGTCATAATTTAAAAATTTTAAGCATGTAATTTTTTAATCTAAAAATATATAAATAATGTTTGTGTTTTTTTATCCCACATGTGGGGCTGGTCTTTATATACTTCGATCACTCGTGTCCAAACTTCATGTCCTCAACCTCATTATGATCTGCCGCCATCTTGATCGAAATACGTACGCTGCGTGTGACAGCGGCTCAGCTTTCCATTATATGTAATTGAGTTGCAAGCCGAAATTTTTGTCACGCAAAGTGTATTGTCACTATTAAAAACTCGTACACGAAATCTTTTTAGGCGGAAACGAATAGAATTCGAGAAAAAAATTATTGAAAATTAATGTTTTTGTAGGTTATGAGTCAATTTTGACAGAAATTTTGATCAGTGCTGCCATTTTTTTATGCAAAAATAACATGATTCTCGTTGTCTATGGTAAACATAAGTTTATTAAGTTGGTACTATTGTCAAAATGTGACAATTTACCGCCATTAATGAGATCTGTCAGTCAGTGTTTGTGTTCGTCGCAATTGAGAGCTTTTTCGTACTCCTGTTGATATTCACATCGTCTGACTACCATGGCATCCTCAAAGCCTTCGGCCTCGAGTTCTGCTGTCCCTTGTGTCCGTGATGCTAGCGTACCCATGATCAATATACGGTATTTCGTTATGCCATTAAATACTGCGTAAATAGTGCCCAATTAGTGTAAAAATAAAAAAAATAGTGCCTCTTTAATTTAAGAAATAAAGACCATTTTTACTGTGTACGCTACCATGACGTCAAGCTAGCGTACCCATGGCCGACCCCAAGAACGGCATATATTTAAGCAACAAAATTGACACACAAAAATAGTTCGCAAATAGTGCCCTGGCTTTACAAAATTTCATAATCAATACTCTTAAAGGACCAAAGATATTGAACTAAACATTCTTAGCTGGCGTCAACCTGGCGTACCCATAATAGTTCTCATAGAAAATGAACTTTTCTCGTTATCAATTCTATATGTATAAATAGTGTGTCAAATAGTGCCTCTAACAGTAAAAGTATTTTATGTTCATTCGCAGTAAAACAATATAAAAAAAGCAAATAAATTATTTTTATATATGAAGTACAGTCATGTACAGAAATGATAATATTTTCGTAGTATAGTAGGTAAGTAAGGTACTTAGTAGGTAGGTAGGTTGAAATTCTTATATGAATTTATGATTGGTGAATTCGAATTGAAATATAATATCTTTTTATAAAAAGTACCTATTTATTTTAGTAAAAATACATATATAGATAATCTCTTAGTGCATAAATTAATTTTGTGTGTAACTGTACTACAATACATTTGTTCCTAGAATTTAACACCCTCTTTATGTATTGTTGTGATGCGGATTCACATAAAATACTTTTACTGTTAGAGGCACTATTTGACACACTATTTATACATATAGAATTGATAACGAGAAAAGTTCATTTTCTATGAGAACTATTATGGGTACGCCAGGTTGAAGCCAGCTAAGAATGTTGAGTTCAATATCTTTGGTCCTTTAAGAGTATTGATTATGAAATTTTGTAAAGCCAGGGCACTATTTGCGAACTATTTTTGTGTGTCAATTTCGTTGCTTAAATATATGCCGTTCTTGGGGTCGGCCATGGGTACGCTAGCTTGACGTCATGGTAGCGTACACAGTAAAAATGGCATTTATTTCTTAAATTAAAGAGGCACTATTTTTATTATTTTTACACTAATTTGGCACTATTTACGCACTATTTAAAGGCATAACGAAAACCCGTATATTGATCGTGGGTACGCTAGCATCACGGACACCTGTCCCTTCGCCTGAAGAGTCGAGTGTAGTGCGAGTTTTGGACTCTAATGAGCCGCTTGTGTGGTGATACTTCACACTAGGTTAGGTTAGGTTAGTGTTGTGACCTTAACGCGCGAGCCGAGCGAGCGAAGCGAGCGTGCCGCGGCAGCGGCCGGCGATGCGCCAGAAAGAAAAATTCGTTAATTGAGACTTTTTCTACAAAAAAATCTAGGCCCTGGAAGTAATTATCATTTCTGTAAAAAAAAACGTCGGGAGGGGGGGGGGGGGTTACCCTTCCCTCTGAGGAGTCTTCCCTTATACCTATCCCTCTGAAATTCCACGACATTTAAACAGATTTAATGAATTTTTAGGTTAGGTAAAAAAAAAAAACTGCATTTCCGCCAAAAATCTTTTATGGCGGGGGGGTCGGGGGGAGCCCCCCCTCCCCCTCGCCTACAAATTACCCCGAAATTCGATTACATATAATGGAATTAAGTACCACTTGCCTACATACATCACAATTCAGGAAGCAATAAAGGGTCATCCCCACTCTAACACCCTAGATTGTCCCTGCAGCAGGCATGTCAGTAGGCACTATAAATGCACCTTGTTCGCATTAACGTTTTTTTGAGATGGCAATTATAGAAAGATGTCACTCCATAGAGAAAAGTAATACACTGGAAATGTCACTCTCACTATGTACTAAAACTCTTTGTCGGTATTTTACTAACAATTCACGCACAAAACTAATAAATAAATTAAGTAGAAGTAGTTCTACTTTTTTGCGAAATTCTATTACGTATAAAACTGTACTCACAAAGTGGGAAGACCAAGACCTAAAGGTTCCAAAACTTGTAACTTTTCTTACCGCCAGAAAAAGGTTATGATTTTTTTGCTTATGAAAATAATCATAATGGTTTTGTGCCTTTCAGAGCTTATGAAGACATTGTGTACCTTCCTACTTAATTAATGGAATGGTACTAAGTTTAAATAACTTGTTTTATTGAAAAATCCCTCGTATCTGACAAACTGTAGGCATGCTTTGTAGCCGTAAATATTTGGGTATTCATTTTATGTAGCTTGTATGTAGCTGTGGCCATTAATATGATAAGTTATACCTAAGATACACAGCTACAACTGTAGGTAAAGAATAGTTACATCTCAAATTACTATACAAACCTTAATTTATCTTTTTTTACTGAGTTGCTATGGTATGGCTTTCTAAATATTTGGGTATGGGTGCTTGAATAAAATAGGATGATGATAATCTAGAAATGTTAATGTTATTTATAATATTTTGTAAATTTGTATTAAAGTGCCAAATAATTTTGTACATGAAATCTATACAATTGTACTGGTTGAAGTTTAGTTTATCATTCAACTTTCCAATCTACTTGTTACATAAATGTCATGTTAGTCCCACTTAGGGTCCATTATTCAATCAGACTTCGTTTGTGACACATGCCAGAATGGCAGCTTTAGGTTCAATCAATTTAAATAAGATTTTATATTTTATTTGCAATGTTAACATTATATTATATTATTTTAGTAGTACGCAAGTCATGGGTGCACTGAGTCCATTGGATCCGTCATCATTCTCTCGTCCTGGTAAGAATAATAATGAGAAGAATAAAGTAAAAGATATTAAAAAACAGAATCTCCTGTATAAGTCTAATAACTTTTGCCTGTAATAACTTTTGGATATATTAAAATGGCTATATTAGAGTGGTTCCTTTATCATTTTTAAATCCAAAATACACTGTGATGTTATCTGTTTACAGAATTGGCAATAATTAAGCATGCATCTCTTTCATTAAATATTGATTTTGAAAGTAAAGTTTTAAATGGAGATGCCATACTTAATTTTGATGTTTTAGAAGATATAGGAGAATTGGTAAGTTATTGTAATAAAAAATATTAAGTTATTGATTTATAAAATTACAAATGTGTAAGATTATTTATTGTTCTTATTGAAATTTAAAAAAATCTTAAAAACAAGTTAGAACTTAAAGAAAAAATTTGTTCATTAAAGAGTTTTAAAAATTGATTTAATTCATTAATACCTGCAGATAATTCCATGATCATTCTAAAATAATTCTGATGTTTGTAAATTTTGCTGGTAGATTTGAGATGAATTTCTGTAAATAATCATGTGACATTTCATTCTCTAATCTTTTTCCTTCAAGATATCTGTTTTATCAAGTAGATACTCAACTTTGATCTTGTATTAATGCAATCTACCGAAGCTAATCTTTAAAAAAACATTATCTTTGTTTACTTTCATCTTATGTTGTTGAGTCATCTCAAAGATGTAATTTATATAATACCCAATTAAAAAAAAATGGATGCGTGTAACTTATGTATGCGCGTGAGAAGTTATACTTCTTTAGCATCATTAAAAATATTTTTTAATTGCATGCAAATAATTAATAATTACAATAAAATAATAAAAGGACTGGAAAAGGATAGTGAACACAGTCAATTAAGTTCAGTTTTAATTTGAAAAATTAAATAAATATTCAAAATATTCAATTAAAATCACTACTGAATTTAAGTTATTAGTCCATATGTAATTAGCACTTGTAAGTAACTAAAACACGTTGTGTCTATATAGAAACTAGAAACATGTGGATAAATATTATAAATATGAAAACAGTGATCAGAGGCGACGAGCGTGCCAACATTGTTTTTGACAACGCGATCATCTTATGGAGCTCCATGGATCGTTCAAAGTACCTTTCAAACAGATGTCTAATAATGGTGGATTATTAACCACTAAGTAGTTAATAATCCACCATTATTAGACACTAACATTCATAACGCGCCCGCGGCCAACTTCATGGTGTTACTATTGTGATACAGTGATGCGCGCGCATCTCGAAATTTCTCTCACATGATTTTTTCATAACGCGCCCGCGGCCAACTTCATGCTGTTACTTTTGGGTTACAGTGATGCGCGCGCATCTAAAAATTTCATTCTCATAATTTTTTCATAACGCGCCTAAAGAAGTATAACTTCAATAAAAAAAAAAAACAACAAAATTTTAATTGTCGGAAAAATAATTTTATTTTCATCAAATCAAAGTCTGAGTAAAAAATGTTATTAAACATTATCCTGAACTTTTTCTAGTTTATACATAATAGGATATACATAATTAAGAAATAATATTTAATCACTGACATTCTAAAAAAATATTTTGTTATTTTAAGCACTGTTCTTTCAAAGGTTTGGTTAAGTTGCTTAATACATTATAGCTATTAACGGGATTGTTACCATGTACCTTGTTTATTATGAGTCTCCGATATTTCAGCACTGATGCAAGTGCCATCTACTCTATCCAAGAGTTACTTAATACATACACTGTAGAAATCATTCAGCTTTCTCTTACTTTGAAACTATTGTTCAAATGCCCTTGGTAGCACTATGTTTATTTCATAACCCATCTATTTATTGTTATTTTGTTACAGGTACTAGATATAAGTAGTCTTAGCATAGAGTCAGTTGAACTAGATAATGGAACTAAACTGAAATTTGATATTGGTGAACCAGTGCCTAATTTTGGGTCTAAACTGACTATAAGTCTGCCTAACCAAGCTCTAGTTGGAGAAAAGTAAGTTAGAAGAATCTGATTATGAGATAATCTTGTACTATTTATAAGCTAACATGTTTGCAGCCAGAACCAATGGCATAACATGCCTTCTGAAGGATAGAGGAGCTCAAAATAATAAGTTTTTGGTCACCCATCAAATGACAAACCATTGCCAAAGTTGGCAAGCAGGCCACACGCATGCCTGCGTCATCGAGCTCCTCATCTGCTGCATCTTTGCATCTGCAGTTGTTAGAACCCACCAATTTGCACTGGGCCTCTGGTGGGTTATGCTCATGGCCCAGTCTTCCTATTCCATCCATAGAGAAGGTGCATGTGCCCCAGCAATGGGAACATTGCAGCATGTTAATTATTATTTTTATTAGTGATTTTTTATTTTTTATCCAGTACCTGTTATCAAACCCATTTTTATGGTTTCATAGTCTGTCAGGAATTCGTATAGTTTCGTCATATCCATCCATCTGCTTTTCTGAAGCTTAGCTCAGAGTGTATTAATGAAATCAATAAGTAACAACTTAATTAATTAATTTTTTCAATCTATTTCATTTATACAATAGTAATGACGTTTTTTTTTAAAAGAAAAGGTGACAAAGGTGCTACTCCCAATGAGGGTATTGATGGAGTTTGTAGCTTTGTACTGAAGAGTATGTCTTCTAATGATGAACTGGATTTGGTTTTTACTGGATACACTTACCAACCTGTTACAATGACTCAAATGGAGGACCCAGGGAATGTCAATCTTCATAACAAAGATCCCTGTAAATGTTGTAAATGTGTGTCACAGACTAAAGCAGAATACAAAGGTGTTCGGTTAGCAAAAAAGATGGTTTATAGAGTAAACGTTATTTGGCGGGTGGATTGAATGTTTCACGGCAACATCAATAGTCAAAAATGTGCTTCTGAAATTTGCTTGCTATATATTTGTATAGCCAGGGTGACAGTATCAAAGTTATCTTAGATTATGAACACATGTTATATAGTAAATCTTATTCTTTTAGGAACATAGAGTATGTGACTGTAAATTCCACATAAAAAAATTAATTTGAACTCTGCAAAATAAAAGTAAAGATATTAATAACATATCTATTTTAAAGTATTTGGTTGGAGTCCACTCACACTACCATGTCATGTTATTGTAAAAAAAAGTTTAAATATGATGCCTGTTAAACATTGTTAGTCCACCCAATTTGTGAATAAAATTAGATATAGTATGTGCTTCATTGTTTTATTTCATTCATTTCATTGGTTTTCCTATTTACTTTTACTAACATTTTTGTTCTTGTTACTATAATAATTCAATTTTGTATGCTTATCAACAGATTAAAAGTAAAAATAAAATATGCAACTGCACCGACAGCGTCTGCATTACAGTGGTTGGAACCCAATCAGACTTCAGGGAAGAAGCACCCCTATCTTTTCAGCCAGTGTCAAGTAAGTAGTTTTTTGTAAACATCAGTAGACTTGCGGTATCTCACTGATATTTTTTTTAATGTGGCTAGTATAATTAATTTTAAATATATAATTCTCCCACCATGTCTCATTCGAGGTTAGCATTGCAATAAAAGTGGGACACGCTGACAACAGTTTTTCATTTGGTTCTAGTTGTTTTTTCAAATGGTCCAGTACCCCTAGTACGAACCATTATCGAATTCGAATAGTTTGCAAACCGAAATGTCAATGTCAAATTTTGTATGGAAACTTAAACGGCAGCGCCACAAACTACGTAACGAGAACTAAAAATCAGTACACATTTGACAATGACATTTCGGACTCGCAAACGATACGAATTCGATTGGTTTGTGCTAGGGTTAAGTGGCATCCACACGATACAATTTTACGTCCAATCTCAGACCAAATAAAAAGTATAGACGGAGTCTGCCGAACCAAAAAGTGAAGCCGATAAAACTACGCCTCGCCGTGTACATACACAGTTACACGCACACACATGCAACGAAACTACGCCTTGGCTTCTCAGTCGAGCTATCCCGACGCGCGGAGTGTGACGTAATAATAAATAACAATATTTATTAGAGAAAATGCCGAATTGTGTAGTGAAAACGTGTAAAAACCAATCTTCCAAGAATAAAAAACAGGATGGAATCACATTTCATATGTAAGTAAAGTTATAAACTGCTATTTTCAATTAATCAAAATCAAATTTGAGGTTGTCGCTTTGTAAACAAAACCTGGAGGCCAATCGCCTAACGGAAATGCTTTGGGAAACGCTAACGCTTACGATTTTATATTGTTATTTCTAGCCGCCTGAGGTTTTCGAATACCTCACGCTCATTTTTTTTTAAATTGTTATTACCAATGCAAAAGAAAAAGAAAGAGCGCGAGGCATTTGAATACCTCAGGCGGCTAGAAATAACAAAATAAAATCGTAAGCGTTAGCGTTTTCCAAAGCATTTCCGTTAGGCGATTGGCCCCCTGAACGAAATGTTGCCATGATTATTCGTTACAGTTTTACCCTTTTGTTGGGTAGCGTGAAATATAACGTAACGTTATTTTATTAAATACATTGTGTAGCATACTTTTATATTATTCGAATATTGTAATGCATGGATAAACAATTACACGAAACATCTTTATTATCTTTTTTCTTTATGTATTCGTATAAATTTTTTGGGATGTAATACACATTATATATTATATGTTTTTTTTAAGATTTCCTAATCGAGATCAAGATCTAAAAGAGAAGTGGATTGCAGTCATTCGTAAGAGTAGAAATGAACCATTGTGGCAACCAGCTTCCCGCAGCGTGGTTTGTTCGACTCATTTTCAGAGCGACGATTTGTACTACACAACAAAAGGGTTACGTCGTGTAAAACAAAATGCATATCCAAAGGTATTTTTTTTACTATTATTATGGTTACTTAGATTAATTTATATTTTAAAGATTCCAATAATTTATTTGCTAACTGCTTATTGTTTGTACAAGTCCCACCATCTATCATGTTGTGGTAGAACTACTTGCTTCAGTTTCCCCATTTTGCCGTATTATGCTACTAAATTAAAGCGAACTTACTTGAATTAAGTATCATTGTTCAATAAAAGTATTAGTACAATAGTAAAAATAATGTTAATTTGGTACTTAGCTAATTTTAAACGCAACCTTGACCTTGACCAACTGTGCACACTAGAAAAATGCCTCATCTAATGTGCACACCGTTTTAAGATGCATCTACTTTTTAATGGCCTTTTTGACCCAAAATTCGCGATGTTTGTGGATTTATTTTATTATGTTCTTGTATAGGAACTAGTGATTATATTTTGTGTATTCTATAGAAAATTTCATGTACATTTTAATAAAAGAAACTGTTTATCAACATTTTTTCGTTTTATCGACATAAAGTTGAGATGACTGATTTGTAAGCGATTTCAAGTGCCTTGTTGCGAGTGCTTGAAACTATAAAATGAACAAACCTATTCCATCCGAGACTTGTAACTAAAGTAAAATAAACAATCCAACATAATTAAACGTCAACACGTACATCAAGGCACTTGGATTTCGCATTTGTTTTTATCAACACTGGAAACACGACCCTTTTTTTCTGTTGCGTGTTATATTTTATAATTGTATTTGGTAAGTTATTATATACATTCATTTATATATAGTACATTCTATATGTACAAAAACCTGGATTTATAATTTACAAATTTTGAAAATATACCTCATTTTACCTATTTAAACGACTTTTTTTATCTTTCCTGAGTTTACCATAATGTAATTAAAATAAATTATAGACATGACGCATTGTGTACACACTGTTTTATTGAAAATTTTATGGAGAATCCAAATATACGTTTGTGAAGGATATTTTTACAAAATAACAGAGAAATCGGCAGAACAATGCAATCGTTCCCACCCAGCGGGCGGGCGGTCCATAAAGAAGTCCGGCACTTGTAGGTGAGAACGGCGCATGACCTTTGGCTCACGAGAGGTTTAGAGAATAAGCTTACGATATTTTTTTCTAATATTTTATAGCGTTATGAAATAACGTTATTACATTTTTCTAATATTGGGGTGTTTTATATGACTATGGTAACACTGGCTAATGCACTACATACATAAAGAACCGGCTTCACTTTTTGGTTCGGCAGACTCCGTCTTTACTTTTTATTTGGTCTGAGCGTCCAATTTGATTAGATTGACAATCGAATTGTGTTGTGTGGACGGAAATATGAAATTGAAGGTCATTGGATGGTCGGTATCGCCCGATTCGGGATTGCCCAATCAAATTGGGTGGTGTGGACGCTAACTGGCCAATTTTTTAACGTAGTCACTGTGCAAGCGGCGTTCAGAGCTGGTGTGTGCGTTGACTTGTCTTTTGAGAAGAAGATGGAACAACATGACGACAATATTATGTCTATTCGATCTGAACGGGAAGTAATGGAGGAGATTTTAGATATATGTAAAGACTTGCTATGCCTTTGGGATGTGTCTAACCCATTATATAAAAATAAACAAGCAAGGCATAATTCCTTAGAGATTTTGCGGAATAAGTGGAAAAATATTGATAAAAATATTACTGTTATAATTTTTATTATTTTTAAAGCATGTAACTGCTTGATGTTTAAATCTAAAGAAAATATAACTAGAAAAAAATCCACGTGGACCAGGCAGTTATTTGTTATTGAAAATAAAAAATCATTTAATTAAATTTATATTCTACTCAATGATATGCGCGCATGCTGGGGTAAAAAAGAAATAATATTATATATATATTTTTAAAATTTTTATTTTTTAAGCATCTAATTTGCTTGATGTTTAAATCTAATGAAAATATAACTAGAAAAAAATCCACGCGGACCAGGCAGCAGACGGGACTCGAATCCGCACCCTTCGCAATCCGGGCGAATGCACTGACCAATTATGCTACCGCGGCTCTCACGGACCGCGTCGAAATTCTTCCAGCCATTCTTAAGTTGCAAGGCAGCGCCATCTCTTCGCATTATAGGTAACCCACAATGTCAAATGAATACTTTTACAAGTATTAAACATTTGAAAGAAGAAATAGCAATTATAGTTATAATTTTTAACGCATGTAACTGCTTGATGTTTAAATCTAAAGAAAATATAACTCAGTTATATTTTAAAGGGTTTTCGAAGGGTGCGGGTTCGAGTCCCGTCTGCTGCCTGGTCCGCGTGGAATTTTTTCTAGTTATATTTTCTTTAAAAATATATCTCCATAAGTATAACTATATTTAAGTTTATTAATTGAGTCACTTAAATATAATATAACTACATTTCAGTGCCTCAATAGCTTTCTTTTTAATAACGGTTGTTTTGTCCACAGTCTTCTTTTTCTTTTTTTCTCATCTACATTTGTAGTTAGAGCCAAGATTAATGCAATTTTTTGCTTCTTAGTAAGAAACATCCTAATACAAACAAGTCCGTTCAGCAGAGGCAACAAATAAAACTGAAATTGGCGATCTTGTTGTGTATGTGTGGACGGACGACCAGATTGTACCCAATTCAATCGGCAATCAGATTGCCAATCAAATTGTGTCGTGTGGAAGGGGTATTACAGTCGTGAATGAATCTCGTGAATGAGTTATAACTTGAAAACGACTTTAGCGATTTCGTCCTTTTTTTATAAAGGTTTCTTTGGAAAATGTTTTTATGGAAAGAATAAGAAAACTGCGCAGAAAATTTGTAATTTTAAGAAAAACTTAACGTCCAACTCTGTACCATGAAAAGTGTTTATGCAGCCTGGTTTTAGGACTTTTGTTTATATTTTAATCGGGCACTGAAACCATGTTTCAAAAACGAGCGTGCTTGACAGTAGTCGCGTATGATTTTTGAAACCTCACCTTATGTTAGTAAAAAAAGAAATAAAACCTACTACAAAAGGAATAAGCCATTTGAACATAATGTTCTAAAATCAAATCAAATAGCGCGCGCTTTCGCGACTTACTGTTACACACGTCCGTCCCATTTCACAAAATCACTCTCACAAATTGCAGGAAAGCGAGAGGAAAGATGTTACACATCAACAATGGTTTCATAGTAGGTCTAACAGAATTCTCATTAAAATTTTCGATCGTATGAAGTGACGGTCTTACTATAAATAAGTTAGACATGATTTCAAACCTTTTGAAGCTTGTATGTATTTTTTTTCTTAAAATCATGTTGAACGCATATCTTAACTTTTTTGTGGTAATATGGTAAAAGTTTTAATAAATAAAGTTTCTTCACAGCCGATTCACGCCCGTTCGATTGTACCATGCCAAGATACGCCAGCAGTTAAGTTTACATACGATGCAGAGGTGACGGCACCCGAAGAGTTCACAGTGCTGATGAGCGCCTTACGTGGTGAAGTTAGAAGCAATAGGACGACTTTTAGGCAACCTGTGCCTATTCCTTCGTATTTGTTGGCCATTGCTGTGGGAGTGCTGGAGCAAAGGTCTTTGGGGCCCAGGTGAGTTGAATATTATATGAAATGAAATATAAATATACTTTGCTAACTTGCGCCCGCGACATTCTGCGCAATAAATGAGATTTTGAGAATCCTCCAGAAATCTAATATTTTCCGGGATAGGGGTATCCTATGTGTCAATCTAGTTTATCACTTATAAACTATTTACAATGCCAAATTTTACCTAAATTCATTGAGCCGTTTTAGCGTGAAATTATGATATAGATATTTTAAACCTGCAATCTCGTTATTTAAGACTCCCCGTTGATGAAGTTCCATGATTTCAGATCGTTAGTATGGTCGGAAAAAGAAGAAATCGAGCGCAGTGCGTGGGAGTTCGCCGAAACGGAGAAGTATTTGCAAGCAGCCGAGAATCTATGCGGGCCCTACGTATGGACACAATACGACTTGCTTGTGTTACCGCCTTCGTTCCCTTATGGCGGTATGGAGAACCCGTGTTTAACCTTCGTTACGCCTACTTTACTGGTAAGTTTTCCTCATATACTTTGATATAGTGCCATTCTTACTTGATGAAAGATGTGAAGTTGGCGCAAGTCGCGGAGTAGTAAAAGAAATTAGCAGAAACTGTGCGGGCCCTATGTATAGACCCAATACGATTACGGGGGTATGAAGCACTGTGTTTAACTTTCGTCACGCCTACTTCACTGGTAAGTTTGGCTCATAAACTACGATATATTGCGATTCAAACTTGATGACAATTGTGAAGTTGGCGCAAGTCACTCAACCTTTGGATACAGTAAAACTTGCTAGTTTTACCGCGGTCCCCCCCTGATGGGGTAAGGAGAACCCGTGTCTTACCTTCTACATACAGTTTTAATACAGATATTGTATGTCACATTGTTTATTAATACTGTAATATGGGCGTATCCCTTATCTAATTTATAATGACGGTATTCTTAATTAAAATATATCTGCTCGATATTATTGTTGTAATGCATAATTAAAAATTGTTTAAAGCAATTTGCTGGCATGACAAATTATAAGATTCACCCAAGTTTACTTGCCCTTGATTAGTATAAAATAGCAACAGATGACCTACAATGCGAAGAGGTGGCGCTGCCTTGCAGCTAAAGAAAGGCTAGAAAGAATTTGATACGAACATCAAGGCCGCGGTAGCATAATGGTCAATGCATTCGCTCGGATAGCGAAGGGTGCGGGTTCGAATCCCGTCTGCTGCCTGGTCCGCGTTGATATTTTTTCTAATAATATTTTTTTTTATTTTAAAACATCGAGCAGTTACATGCTTAAAAAATTATAACTAAGTTTATTTATTACTGAACCGAGGTCAGGATATTGAAGAAATAAATATCAGCACTAATTCGACCTGGCACGGGACTTATGCCAAATAACACTTTGGTGGTGTGGCTACTTTATTTCACGTGGAATGATGAGAAGAGACACTTCAGATAGGGCTTAGCGGATTTACCTTTCGAATTGGAGCGCCCGTTTGGGGAAGTAACCTCCACCTTGAAAAAGACCACAGTAACATAACATATAACTTTTGGTGGTGTTGTATTTCTGTCGGTGGGTAAGGTTCCAGGGCTCCACGGGGTAGGGGATGGGGTCAGGGCAGGCAACGGCGTGAGTGATAGCTTTGTTACCACAAGCCTCTATAGGCTGTGGTGGCCGCTTACCACCAGGCGAGTCATATGCATGCTGGTTCGCCACCCTTTGAACATTAAAAAAGAACGGCCAAGTACGAGTCGGACTCGCGCACCGAGGGTTCCGCACAAAACCTGAATTTTCAGAAATATTTTTTATTATAATTATGATGTAACTAAAAATTTACGATTTTCGCAATTTTTCCTTTATCTGTACTATAAGACGTTACTTCGTACCAAATTTCAAGATTCTAAGTTCACGGGAGGTGGTTCACGGGAGGTGGTTCAAGGTTTTGAATCCCGTGCGAGTTTCGAAAATTTTGCGGCATAAACGGCTGTATCTTTTGATTGCTTTGGCTTAGATGCTTAGAAGTTTGATTTTTTCACAGCTGCAAGGGACAGGAGACCTGAGTATTAGATATGAATTTCAGGTTGATACCTCCGTGTTTCCTAAGAAAAACGGTCTTGACGGACAACAAAGTGATCCTATAAGGGTTCCGTTTATTCCTTTTGCGGACCGAAACCCTAAAAAGAATATTCACTGCTGGACAGGCTGAATTAACACGTTACTGTTAGGCCTCTTGTTAACGGTTATTGTTTCACGTGGTCGGCGCCGGCGGTCGGTAAAACAAAGGGTTACAAGAAATCTTAAACACGGTACTGTAAATCTGCCAAATATAGTTATGAGCATAAAACAAAATCGTTTCATAACAGGATTCTGGCATTATTCCCTAAACCAAAAATTAAATTTACCAACAGTGTATCCTTGCCTGCTCTATAAAGAATTTAAAGGATGGACGGTTGTCAAACTTTCTAAAAGTTTTAAGTTAAGAGAACCATAGCAGAATTACGCCCTTTAAACCATTATTGTACTGCATAGGGATGGCATAGTCTAGTATAGTTGGGAATAAACCCTCAATTCTTTAACAGGGATAAAAAAACATGTTGTTTTGCCACTAGGCAGGTGACAGGAGTCAAGCTGACGTAATAGTGCACGAGATAATGCACAGCTGGACCGGTAACCTCGTGACAAACAAGAACTTTGAGCACTTCTGGCTCAACGAGGGTTTCACGGTGTTCCTAGAGAGGAAGGTCGGAGCCTCCCTCATCAGCGACCCGGTGGAAGCCAAGAAGAGCAGGGACTTCCATAGCCTGCTCGGCTTACAGGAGCTCAGTGAAGCGGTGAGTATGACTTGGTAATTTTATTTGAAATGATAAAAATGTTGTGTTCTACATTGATCCCTATTATTGATTTATTGTTGTGTACTTTTCTTAATTAGCCTAATTTATCGTATCGTAATTAATTGCTAAATAAACAAATTACAATAAGAACGAAACAAACTAGCGACATTTAAAGTTGCTCAGTTTAAAATGTCAAAGTATATTTTTGTACGAGCGAACGTTAGCGTTTACTTTAAAGTAAAAAAAAAACATGAAAATTATTTATTGGTAACTTTAAATTTCCTAAAATAAGTAATCTAAATAAGTTTTTTCTTGTTGTATTTTTAAGCACTTTAAATGTATGTATGTATGAACGAAAAAAGTTAGCTGACTTCAAAGTTAGCTTAAATGAAATACTTAGCATTTGCTGAAATCGACCTTAGGTCCAAGCACGAGTTTTTGACAGCTCTGTAAAGTAATCGTCAAATTTTGTATGGAAATAGTAGTTTGTTCTTACGTCCAATAGAACTGCTCCTGCTCAGTTTTGATTGTAACTTTAGTGACTTTAGTTACTTTATGGAGCTGTCAAAACTCTTGCTTGAGCCTCTTATCTAGGGCACCAGTTTCGCTACACCTCGAATGTTGACAAAACCCTGCATCATTGCAGGTGAACGAGCAATTCGATCCGTCGAATCCGCTCACGCGATTGGTGCCCGACTTGAACGGGGTCCATCCCGACGACGCGTTCTCTAGGGTGCCATACGAGAAAGGGTCCTTATTCCTGAGGTACCTGGAAGACCTGGTCGGTGGGTCTGGTGAGATATTGTGATGATACATGACACTTATAGGTTAACCAAGAACTCGGAGTGGACAACCAGCTTACGCGACTGGTGGTGGATTTAAACGCAGTGCATCCGGATGATGCGTTTTCAACTGTACCGTACGAAAAGGGCTCGCTGTTTCTGAGGTATTTGGAAGATTTGCTGGGAGGCCCTGGTGAGAATTGACAGAGTATCATGGAATGAAAGTTTTCTGGAATGCGCGGCGCCAGGTGGCAGCACTGAGCCGAAAGGTCTTCTCATCCGTCAAATCACATAATTATGTATGATTAATTTAAAAGCTCGTTTGATTTATTCGCGCCAGATATTTCATATGAAAGACCTCATGTCACAGTGGCGCCAATTGGTGACGTAAATTTTCCTAAACACCCTCATTGGTTAATTGTTTTGTTAAGTTAGTAGTCCTGAGTGTAATTAATTAAACGATAATCCTAAGGCAATGCATCAAAATTTTGTTTGTATTTGCCTCATAATTTTGTATGTTATGTTTTTCATTTAGTATTTATATTACTTGGGTACTTTTAAGAACATTTTAATTTGAATTGAGACCAATGCGATTTTACATAATTAAATTAGCAACTTGCCATAAAATATCTAGGTGCCTAAGCTTAGATGAACTTATCTTTTACCTCAAGCAAGAGGGCAATACAAACACTCATATCTTGTTGATTACCGACGAGTTTCTATAAATTTTTCAGACGTATTCGACGACTTTCTCCGGTCATACTTAAACAAATTCAAGAAGCAGTCACTCGATACCGACCAGTTTAAGGCATATCTGCTTGACTACTTCAAGGACAACAAACAACTAAAGACTGTGGACTGGAACGCTTGGCTTTACACTAGTGGCATGCCCCCGATTATACCTGCGTAAGATAATACTACTTAGTAATAACATTGTTAAAATACTGCCTTCAATTTAAAGATACTTATTTTACTGCTTCGGCATTAGAACTTCCAAGTCTAGCTAAAGTTTTACTTGAAAATGTTCCACGTAGTCCAGACTGGATTGGAAACCGCAGCTTTCGCAATCTGGGCGAAATTTAGATTTATTAACCAGTTAAATGCTTAAAATTAAAAATATAATAGAACCTTCTTCCCTGTCTTTGAAAAGCTAAAACAAAATATGAACCTCCTTCTTTTTGAAGCCGATTAAAAATAAGATGTTTGTATGCATAAAAAAATTGTAATCATTTTCTTTTGATATAAGAAAGTATTTTAACTTTGTTTTCATTCTCTCCAGATACGACACATCAATGACGAAATCTATAACGGCGCTAGTCGAGACCATATCGCAGAGTAACGCGACGATATCTTCGTTAGATGTTCGGACATTAAACGCCCATCAGCTCATACGATTGTTGCAAGAGTTACTGGAGCGACCGGCTCTACCACTGGAGAAACTGCGTTTACTAGGCAAAGAGTACGGGCTCGAAACTAGCACCAATTCGGAGATAGTTTACAGGTCAGTAACACGACGATATCTTCGTTAGATGTTCGTACATTAACCGCCCGTAAAGTTGCTGCAGAAACTACGTTTACAAGGCCAAGAGTACGGGCTCGAAACTAGCAACAATTCAAAGATAGTTTACAGGTCAGTAACGCGACAAGAGTTTGGAATTAACAGCTGATACGATTGTTGCAAGAGTTGCTGGAGCGACCGGCCCTACCACTGGAGAAATTGCGTTTACTAGGTAAAGAGTACGGGCTCGAAACTAGCAGAAGTCAGAGATAGTTTACAGGTTAGTAACGAAACCATATCTTCGTTAGATGTTCGGACATTAACCGCCTATCAGCTGATACGGTTGTTGCAAGAGTTGCTGGAGAAACAGCGCTTTCTTGGCAAAGAGTACGGGCTCGAAAGTAGCACCAATTCAGAGATAGTTTACAGGTTAGTATGCGGCTTAGTTTACTATTTTAACTTGTTTTGGTAAATTACTGAATATTTAAAATTGCTATGAAAAAAGGCTCAGGAACTTTTGATAAAGTCACAATATTGAAAATTACGAGAACTCCTACTATGTCATTACCTTACACACAGTTGATAAAAGATGTTGCCAATTATTTACAGAGTCATCAATTTCGCATTTTCTTAGAATCTTTCTTCCCATTTGACTCTTCTGATTAACTCTTCACAAAAAGTTATTTTAAAGCGAAAATACATACAAACAATTTGTTATCGTGGGCCTGACAGGAAATCTGTGAAGTTTTATTTTGTTCATTTGCAAAAATTCAAGGAATAATTATAATACAGCCTTGTCTCAAGTCTGATCAGAATAATAAAATCTATTATTTTAGGCCTTCATTGATTTGTTTTAATAAAAATTAGGGCCAAATATGTCATAGTTTGAAGGAGTTTAGTAATAATATTGTTAATTTCGATATACTTACACACAAATATTTTTTGTGTACATTTATTGTTCATTTATTTTGTAAAACGGAACATTTTGCTTTTGAAACAGGCATGAAGTCAATTATTATACTTTTAAATATTTGATTATTTCACGAAAGTTGTATGAGAATAATAAACACGCAATAATTAATAAAAAAAATTGTAAAGTTACTGGCTAGTGCGAAATATTTATACACATTAAGGACAGTTTCTTAGCCATGTCCTTTAAATGTCGTAGTGAAAAATTGCATTCGGTGCTTGGAACGCGGCTTTGACATCTACGCACTCGCACTATAACCTCGTTGACATTGGCATATCCTGTGAACTTCAAGTTTGTTTGTTGTTAGATATATTTTTGCGTCACAACCGCTCTCGTCTCGTTTCAAATAATTTTAATTTACCACAAGTTGTTCGCACTTTTATATCATTAATTTCTTACTCGAAAAGAAATTTTATTAACAAGTATTTATGGAAGAGTGGTTTTAAGTCACATTTCCATCCATTAGTCGCGACAAAACAAAAGTAATAACAACATCTCTAACTACGTCCTCGCGCTTCCTACGGGCAGTTGCTGAAAATCAGCATTTTGTCTATTAAGGCAAAAACACTGCTGAGCTTCTGCCTATTTGCTTCACTGTCACTCACTAATGACTCTAGTTCATACTAGTTATTTAAGAACTGTTTAAACTTAAAATCATTTATGTCTGCTTATTATTAATTGTATTAATTTGTGATGCAAATGAATGAATTGAATTGAACCTCTGTTCCCATTAGATGGCTTCGATTGTGCATCAGAAGCAGAGACGAGGACCGACTGGGCGACGCGTTCGACTTTGTCAATAGACAAGGCCGTATGAAGTACGTGCGACCGATATACAGAGACCTCTACGCTTGGGAGGACGTCAGAGACCGCGCCATAGACAACTTCCTCAAGAACGAACAATACATGATGCACGTGTCTGCGTATACGCTGAGAAAAGACTTGCATCTCAAAGATTAATTAACTACAAATTGTAGATGTCAATTTTACTGTACCAATGAGTACGACAAATCTATTTTTCATTTTATTTTATTAAAATTATATTATATGTATATAAAACCTGTTTGATGTATGTCAGAAATGAGTTATGTATTGAATTATATTAGTAATGATTAAAAAAAATAGTTTCATTTATTTGTGTGTGGTTGCCCTATATAAATAAATAAAATAAAAATCATTTATTTCAAGACATGGTCTCATATATGTTAGTAACAATTTTTCTTACCCTATGTTAGTATTTCATTACAATTTCAATCATCATTATAAAATATATAAACATTATTAAATCATTAACATATACCTATCTTTATATATATAATTCTTCTGTGAGTGTGTATGTCACTGAACTTCTCTTAAACGACTGGACCGATTTTGATGAAATTTTTTGTGTGTGTTCAAGGGGATCTGAGAATGGTTTAGATTCACAATTTTGTCCGCTGGACAATGCTTTTTAATTAAATTTTTTTATGGCGGTACGAATTTCGCTGGGTCAGCTAGTACCTATATATATAGGAACAGTAAAGAAATTATCTACGGTTTTTTTTACCTGGACGCGACAGAAAAATAGAGGTGATTCGAATGCATGTATGTTTCTTAGGCATAATCTGTAGATTAAACGGCTTGTCTGCTGGAAATGTGAGGTATGTTCGGAATCCTTACATCATCCCGAGTTACATTAGTTATAGTTATAATTTTTATTATTTTTAAAGCATGTAACTGCTTGATGTTTAAATCTAAAGAAAATATAACTAGAAAAAATTCCACGCGGACCAGGCAGCAGACGGGACTCGAACCCGCACCCTTCGCAATCCGGGCGAATGCACTGACCAATTATGCTACCGCGGCCCTCACGGACCGCGTCGAAATTCTTTCTAGCTATTCTTAAGCTGCAAGGCAGCGCCATCTCTTCGCATTATAGGTAAACCCACAATGTCAAATGAATACTTTTACAAGTATTAAACATTTGAAAGAAGAAATAGCAATTATAGTTATAATTTTTATTATTTTTAAAGCATGTAACTGCTTGATGTTTAAATCTAAAGAAAATATAACTAGAAAAAATTCCACGCGGACCAGGCAGCAGACGGGACTCGAACCCGCACCCTTCGCAATCCGGGCGAATGCACTGACCAATTATGCTACCGCGGCCCTCACGGACCGCGTCGAAATTCTTTCTAGCTATTCTTAAGCTGCAAGGCAGCGCCATCTCTTCGCATTATAGGTAAACCCACAATGTCAAATGAATACTTTTACAAGTATTAAACATTTGAAAGAAGAAATAGCAATTATAGTTATAATTTTTATTATTTTTAAAGCATGTAACTGCTTGATGTTTAAATCTAAAGAAAATATAACTAGAAAAAATTCCACGCGGACCAGGCAGCAGACGGGACTCGAACCCGCACCCTTCGCAATCCGGGCGAATGCACTGACCAATTATGCTACCGCGGCCCTCACGGACCGCGTCGAAATTCTTTCTAGCTATTCTTAAGCTGCAAGGCAGCGCCATCTCTTCGCATTATATTAGTAATCAATACATGCTTTAAAAATAATAAAAATTATAACTATAATTGCTATTTCTTCTTTCAAATGTTTAATACTTGTAAAAGTATTCATTTGACATTGTGGGTTTACCTATAATGCGAAGAGATGGCGCTGCCTTGCAGCTTAAGAATAGCTAGAAAGAATTTCGACGCGGTCCGTGAGGGCCGCGGTAGCATAATTGGTCAGTGCATTCGCCCGGATTGCGAAGGGTGCGGGTTCGAGTCCCGTCTGCTGCCTGGTCCGCGTGGAATTTTTTCTAGTTATATTTTCTTTAGATTTAAACATCAAGCAGTTACATGCTTTAAAAATAATAAAAATTATAACTATAATTGCTATTTCTTCTTTCAAATGTTTAATACTTGTAAAAGTATTCATTTGACATTGTGGGTTTACCTATAATGCGAAGAGATGGCGCTGCCTTGCAGCTTAAGAATAGCTAGAAAGAATTTCGACGCGGTCCGTGAGGGCCGCGGTAGCATAATTGGTCAGTGCATTCGCCCGGATTGCGAAGGGTGCGGGTTCGAGTCCCGTCTGCTGCCTGGTCCGCGTGGAATTTTTTCTAGTTATATTTTCTTTACATTAGTTATGCTTTTTTGAAAAGAAATCTAAATCTCAGAGGAATCATCAACATGTAAATTTTCAGACAATTAGTATTTCAAGTCATTTAGAGACAATTTACTACTTAGATTTTGCAAACGAGGTGATGCGTACGAGGAGAACTAGAGTATCTGATATAAGCTGAAGTGGTAATGGGCGGAGCGTATATTCTTTGGATCGATGAACGTGTTGCTTTCAAAGCAGTGTTCAATCAATTTTAAAAGGGGTAAAAGCGGTTACATTTTTTGTGTGGGAAGTAAGCATATGGTACGCCAGATGGTAAGCGGCAGCCGTAGCCTGTAGACTCTTGTGAGACCCGAGTATTACTCTAGGGCTTTGCATCGAAACAATACCACAAAAATTTCACTGTGATCTGCTGCTCAATCGCTATGCCCTACCTCTCTTAGGCCCGTATTACAGAATGACAACTAAGTGTTGATCTTTACTTGAGTACAGTTAGAAAGGGATGTCGCTATGTGCTAGATATAGTGACATCCCTTTCTAGCTATGCTCCAGACTACATCAGTCACTGAAAATCTTTCTATGATACGAGTTTAAACTCTGTTACTTAATATCATCATAAATCTATTTCCTAAGCTTCTGCAGTGTAGTACTTTGTCGTGTAAAAAATGACTAACTTTCAGTATAGGAAATAAAAATTTACTTGTGCGCCCCGCGTCGGGCTCTGAATGAACTGACCTTAAATATTATACATAACGTGCAACCGGTTATTTATTTTTATGCGTTTTAGCATATACTCTGAGATGATGACTCATTCAAGTAAAAAGACCGTATTGCGATAGTTTTAAGATTGAATTTTAAAATCCAATAACAAATCTATATTATGGAAAATAAACATTACTATGCAACAAAGTAGGTTCAATTGTATTATTTGCATATGAAACAGTTATTTTATTGCAATGAAGTTTTTGGTGTAGCAACATTTTGTAGGTCAATGCTTCAATTCGAGTGTGTGACTCTTGGTGTGACTACTACTATTGATAAGTTATTGAGAACAATTGTTATATCTCGTTTGAAGGTGGCATTGTTTGATTGAAACTTGTGTAACGTAGATACATTAGTTGACTTTATGTTACTAAACAGCGTTTAGTTTATAATTTATAATCTTGAAAAAATATAATAATTTATTTAGCATGATTAAAAGACTGTGCTAAGTTATTATTATTGATAAATATTCTGGGAATGAAAGGAGCTTCAATTTTGCAAGATCCTTCGTCGTTCTCACAGCCAGGTAAGTTTTGTTTTGTATAATTCATAATTAGGGATCGAAACCCGGATTTTCGGGTCTTATATAAGGTTAATCAAAGCCCGGGTAGACCAGTTTTTTTGAGGTTTCACAAGTCGTCACTGGCCACATAACTGATCACTTTTGTCTTGAGACACTAAGGTAGATGGAATGTGGAGATTATACGTTATTTCCCGAACGATGCTCATCTGAGCTGGATTAGACGAGAGATTTCTTTTTTGATTGATTTATTTATAGCCTAATTGGCTGTAAAACTTTTACTAATATTTTAACAATTTCGTTTCTCTGTTTTTTTTTCTTCGAGTGTAGTATTCTCAAATTTAACTGGAGTGGATGGGCATTCGACAAGATTTTCATCTTATCCATGTTCATTTTAAAACCCACTTTTCGGGAAGCACTACTAAAATCTTAAAGCATCCTGTTCAGATTTTTCAAGGTCTCAACCATAAGTATATGCTACATATCAGCGAAACGAAGATATGTATGGTACACGCCATGAATGTCGATTCCTCGTCCTTGCTACTCCAGAAGCTTGAGAATATCCTCCAATCCAGCTGTGAACAGTTTCGGAGATAATACAACTCCCGTTACCCCAAACATAGGGCCGTTCTCATATGGGCAACTTAACACTTCGACATACCTGTAGTCTACTTGGCACCTTAGGGGAAACTGTAAGACCGCCCAGGTCTCAATCGAATCGAAGGCTTTCTCATAGTTCACGAACGCTAAGTCGCAGATATTATACTCTTCGGTCTTCTGTATGACCTGCCGCACCCACAGCGTATGGATGTTGTCTATGTTGCAAATGCCGTTTCGCTCAGCGCCTGGCGAGCTTTTAGCTTTACTACCTCTCCGCCTCTACTGCTCCATATTTCACTCTCCGAGATAAATGCGCGTTCCGTTTAACTTGTTTTCATGGTAGGAGAATGTAGCAAGTACTTAAGCTTCTTTAACGTACCTAATAATTTATCAAAGCGTGTTTTTATTTCATTTATTATTGCATTCTAAGTGTCTTATAGGTACCTACTTACGTAATAAATAATAAAAATAATTTTATTCAAAGGAACCAGTAAAGCCCGAGTTTTAAAAATTAAACCCGGGTTTATTTATAATCATCAGATCCAGGAAAACCCCAGTTTTTCTGGACCGGGTAAAACCGGGCTCGATGCCCTATACATAATCATTGAAAAGTCTGTATAATCAAAGATTAAAAAATATTCCTGTTTAAAGGTAATGTGAATAGAATATGAACATAGTACCTATTCGGCTGCTTCTAATATGAACATAAGTATAAATATTTTGACTTAATATTATTATGTTAATGTAACGAGAATTTTATCTTACAGTTTATCGAATTGAGAGTACCTACCTGCTTAGATTAGGTGGTATTTTCTGTTCTGTAGATAGAGACACATCAAGTTAAAACAAATTTAGAAAATCTCTCAGTAGATTATGAATCTTATAATAAACAAGATAGAGCTCCAAGTAAGTTTGATAAATTGGACAGTTTTAGGTACTATGACTTGCTGCCTGTACAAAGGGTGGCAACGAGCATACTAACTAAAGGCTCGACTGATAGTAAGCCGCAAGCTTAGCCTATAAGCGGGATATCGGTACAATGTAACTCTCGCGTTTCCCACCTTAACCAATGGACTTTAAAATGGTAATGGGCATCGCGCGAGGAAGGCCAACAAAAACTTGTTGATTTCACTGTGGTCTTCTGTAAAGAGGTTACTTCCCTAGGCGGGCGGTTTGATTCGCTGGGAAAATCCGCTATTCCTCCTCTACTATTCCTCTAAGTGTCGCCGCACACGGGCCACACGCAACAGCCACAAACGCCGCCACGAGAAGCTAGAAGCGGCTACTAAAGTGGCTCAAGCGCGCGACAGCGGCCGAATAAGTTAAGGCAAAGAGGGGTCCCCATCGCGCGAGTGACATTAAGTGGCCGGTGCGGGCCACAAGAAGCGAGCAACGATGATTTGAAGCGTGTGGCGAGTCTATATATAATGTATGAAAACTACAAGAAATATGCCGGTGGCGGCGCGTTTAGTGGTTGTGGTAAGTGGTCCGTGTGCGGCGACACTAAGTTGTGTCCCTGATACTCTGGGGTACCGTACACACGTCAGAGTGTGGGTTCGCTCGCGGACAATCACAGATGGGTGCGAGGCCTGTCTTCTTAACAGAGCGCCAACACCACACCCGCATTCTGGGCTCCTTTCCTCAAAGTGCGTTTCCGTTGACCGGTGTATGAGTACTTATTATCTGTGTTTTTAGAGAGCCCTGCTTATTTCGCCGAGCCCTGAGTTGGACGAAATCCTCGGGAAGCCTACTTACTACTACTACAACATACATCATAACTTTTTTCTTTTTTCGCATATCCTATTTGCAACTTCCAGTGAGGCAGGCGTCACGCTTACGTAGGCATGAGAAAAAAGAAGCATGCATACCAGTAGCTAAATCAAGCATATTAAATCTACATAGATATTCATCGTCTGTGCAATTCAGCATACCTAGGATCTTCTAATTTAGCATATTTTTCAATCATGAGTTATTTAGGTACCCGTTGTTTCAGATGAAAGTGTTATCAAGCATATGTCTTTGTATTTTAATGTGGATTTTGACAAAAACATTTTGAAAGGTGAAGCCATATTGCATTTCAATGCGTTAAAAGAAACTCGGGAAGTGGTACGTACTTCTAATTATACATTTTAGTATAGTCGCAAAGTTTTGTAAGTTTTATTATTTTTAAAGTAAAATTTTTTTCGCCATCTTTAGCATGGCGCATTTTATTTGCGAGCTTCTATTTTATTTATCTAATATAACTTCTAGTACCTACTATAATGTTTCATATATTTATTTACACTATTTACACAAACTTAAAACTAATTTTATTTGAACTTAATTAATTACATTTACATAACTTTAATATTTACATCACAATAAATACATTACACAAAAACATTAATAATAAGTCAACATCTTTTATAAGAATTCATCAATAAACTTAATTCACGACATACGATAAATATATTACTTATTTCGCTTAGTGCAGTGCGAACACATCGTTTGTCCTACGCGCGTAGTTCTGCGTTTCGCGTGAAAACCACCGCCTGTTGAATGCGTGAATTGTAGTAAATGTCCGATGTTGATGCGCTGAAATCTGTTTATCAATTGTTGTTACTGATTTCGTTGGTTAGCTTATAATTTGTGTTTCTACGTGTTGTATTGTGTTACCGTATTAGCCTTCTGTGTACATTGTGATAATTGTTACGTGTGATTGGACCATATTACATTGGGTTACCAAGAAACTGGATGTATCATTGACACCATACCCATATATACATTACACACGTTAAAAACCAAACATTTTTGAATGTTATTAAAAAATTTGGACTTTATCAACAAGCATTGTCTGTCCAGACGAGGAAGGACTTTTTTTCATTAATGATTTAAAAGTTTCTCTTGCATTGTGGTTTCATAAAACTACTCGATTTTTTTTATATTACTCGTGTTGCCCTAACCCTTGCTTTACCCATGGGATTCAGTCAAACCAAGGATTTTTGATATCGACTCATTCGCATATAACGCAACACCTTATCTATAGCCACAATAATCCTCTCTTCTTTCTTTATGGTGTCACAAATTCTTCTTAAAGGCGTCTTCTTCTTTTCTTTATTTTAACTATAAGTAACTACACGCAAATGTAAACTTTAACTTCCATCTGAGAGGTTTCAAATTGAAATCGTACACCAGAAATTGGATATCGAGAACAACAGTGAGATAACTGAATGTCGGCGTTTTAAATAACTGGTTTTAATTTGCAGGTACTGGACAGTAGCGCACTAGACATCGATTCAGTAGAGTTAGAAGATGGCACTAAATTGCTGTTTGGCTTAAGCAATCATATACCGAACTACGGATCTAAGTTGAATATTACATTACCTAAAGAAGTTGAGCCTAACGAAATGTAAGTTGTATCGATTATAAGTCGGATAATTTATTAATTCCCTACAAGCGAGCTTCGCACGAGAAATAACTTATAAAAATATTTACTTATTTTAAATATGCATTTAACATATTTAATAATAAGATCTTCGATTAATAAATCGCTAAACTGCGATAAACCGAATAAATTTTTCACATTTCACTCATACTCTGTGTTGACTCCGGACTTCGCGAACTTAATATAATGTTTTGATGTATTATACATACCCTACGTGTCTATAGATTCTATGAAAAAGTTAAGCCCGATGCGCTATTTTAGCAGTACCGCCGCGCCGCAACCGCTATGTCATTTTAAATCTGTTATAGACCTTTTATTATAGATTCACGATCGTCAATATGGATTTAGACCGAATCGATCGACGGATGACCTTCTAGCGTACGTGACACACATCTGGGGTGAAGCTATAGATAAGCGGGAAAAGACTCTGGCTATCGACCTTGACATCGCCAAGGCTTTTGACAGAGTCTGGTATAAAAACCTTCTCTCCAACTTCCTGCATACTGTTTGCCTGCTCAGTACTGCGCCTGGGTAGCTGACTTCCTGCGTGAGCGTAGAATACGCGTCCTTACGGTCCTTCAGTAAGGACGCGGACGTACTGTAGTTCGCAGTTCATATCAGTGAATGCCGGTGTTCCTCAGGACTCCGTTTTATCCCCACAGTCTTTCTGCTGCATTTCTATGATTTGATTCGTCTAGGGAATATTCATGGCTATGCAGACGATAGAACAGTGCATACCTACGAGATATTTTGGAGTCGTAGCAGCTGGACACGCGAAAACCTAGGAGAAACGGGAGAATATTGTCGCTGAGCTCAATCAGCCTTTGGACCACATTTCCGAATGGGGTACCAGGAACTTGATTGAGATCAATGGCAAGAAAACCTTTATTTATTGACGTTTCGTAGCCTTTACAGGCTACGTCGTCAGAATTAGCCTGTAAAGGCTACGAAACGTCAATAAATAAATAAAGTTTCGTGCATTAACCCGTAAAAACTAGTTTTATTTAATAATATTATTTTTCAAGCCTTCACGCCATGTCCATGTTACCAGACAAACCCGATTTTAGGATAAACTACTTTTTCCTAGGCCATACCAATTCATCCTTTAGGTAATATGATAAACCGATATAGACTAGTTTAGTTCGTCCTATGACCGATAGGAGAAGCTAATTTAACCAAGACTGAACTTGTTGAGCCTATTATGAATAAGTACACTTCATGATAAATGTTTCTGTATTAATTCTGTCTAGTAAAAAACGTTTAAGCGGGACGTGTGAAGTGGGCGATGATACCCAAGTTATTGAAATATCTCTGAGGACTGCAATCATAACATTTAGTGGGCGTGGTTTTGTAAGGTGTAACTGCGTAAAGAACTGTTTAAAAACCAGATACAACTGCAAGAAAAAAATGCTTCTCTGAAATTCCAAATGCCACCAGAGTACCTACACTGCAAAAACGCAATTGATTTAATAAACGCTTCATGACTATAACAGTTCTGTTTTTTTTATGCTTAATAGGCAATGCGTTTGACCACAATCTCGCCTGATGGAAAGCGATGATGAGGCCTAGGATGGTACACGCCTGCCTAGAAGATGCCTGTTCACTCTGGCCTTGCAGATGTCCAGATTATATTGGTCTGGGAAAACAGACCTCGGCAAGGAGTTCCACTCCCTAGCCGTTCGCATAATGAAAGCGGAAGCAAATCGCTGATCGTCCGGTGGTGGAAAGGGGAATGGGGGATCAAATTATGTAATACCTCCGCACACTCTCCGAAATGTATCCGATAAGAGCAAATAAAATTATAACCATTTGGTATCCTCACGACGCCTCATCTAAATTTTTTTTTGATGCCAGGTTTAAAATTAAAATAAAATACGCGACATCTCCAAAAGCTTCGGCACTTCATTGGCTACATCCCAATCAAACGTCGGGCAAGATGTATCCTTATCTCTTCAGCCAGTGTGGGGTAAGTTTGTTTCAAAACATAACAGAGAACACAGAAATTTCTCTCAAATAGAAATCAAAACATCCTGAAATGGGCGGTTAAAGTACAATTAACATCAAGTAAAAATTACTAATACTTAGGTAGGTGCTTTAGTTAAGATCTGCGATATTGCTGTGGTTGCGTCAATATGGTCGTTTGTTTTAGCCAATACATGCTCGTTCAGTTGTGCCATGTCAAGATACACCGACAGTGAAGTTCACATATGATGCGGAAGTTACTGCTCCTGCAGGATTCACGGTGCTCATGAGTGCCTTGCGTGGTGAAGACAAAGGCAACATAACATCCTTCAGGCAGCCAATACCGATACTATCGTATTTGTTGGCTATTGCTGTAGGCGTGTTGGAGTATAGAACTCTAGGGCCTAGGTAAGTAATTGGAAAATTTCTTTGGTTTAGAAATATAATAGCGTTATTTTGTTCATAGATACAGGATACAGAGATAATTTCGGTCTCATTCAACAACCGCAGTAAGTATCCTATGGTATATACACACCTACTGAACTGGTTTTGTTAACTATTCAACGTTTTAGATAGATCTAATTCGTGATTGTTTTTCACAAATTACTAATTTACTGTACTAAGTTCTTAAGAATTTTAACCTTAAATAACTTTTTAAATATCCTATACCAAATGTTTAATTTATTTATATTTACATAGAAATATTTCAAATTACAATACCTTAAAACTACTTAATGTCTAAAAACTTAAAAACCAGAAATAACTAAGTACTAAACTAATATATAATTTAGAAAATAAAAAATATATCAGCCCGTACCTATATTAATATGTTCTAAATTATGATTTTCATTAACAGATCCAAGGTTTGGTCAGAAAGTGAAAACATAGAACAGAGCGCTTGGGAGTTTGCCTACATAGAAAATTACTTGCAGGCTGCAGAACGGTTTTGCGGGCCATATGAATGGACTCAATATGACCTGTTGGTTCTACCATCGTCATTCCCTTACGGTGGAATGGAAAACCCGTGTCTTACTTTCGTCACGCCATCATTGTTGGTGAGAAAGATAACGCGTATCGCTTTATCAGCTTGTAGTCTCACTAAATATTTGCTATATTTTTTTTTTCAATATTGCACTATTCGAAATCGAATAAGGAATTCTACCCTCGGTGTGAGAACGCTGCTTTTTGTAAGAACGCACTTCCTGCCCAAAAAGATGAAATTGGTGGAATACATGCAGCGCAGCGTTGCCAGTTTTTTTTTGCCAAGTCGGGATTTAGGAACTTTTTGAGTGAAAAATGCGGGATTCTTTCGTCGAAAGTGTCCCACTAGTAAAAAATACGTTTTTTTATAATAATCAAAAATTTTTGATCTTTTTATTTAAGTTAAAATTATATTTACGTGACAATAGATAGACTAAGTAGTAAAAATATCCATAGAAAAAATATTTTAGTAAAAATATGATATTTTTAATCAGATTTACCCTATCGTTAAATAGTTGAGTCTTTGTTTGAGAGTTGTTCATTACGCGCCAGGCAGGTGGCCAGACCACACTTGTCTGTGCCACCCGCCCGTGCTTTCTCAGTACGCTGCACGCACGGTCGAGTTATTCCCGAAAAGCGGGATTTAGCTTATCCCGCGCGGGACATTTAATTTTGATTTAAAAATCGACGTCCCGCCAGAATCGGGACGTCTGGCAACGCTGAATACATGCCACCATGCCACAGTCAAGTTGACGACATGACATCTTCAGATGGATTTCGAATGCTTCGTTTGTTGCTCTATAATTTCAATATTAACAGTTGTTTATCTATTTTAGTCTGGAGATAAAAGTCAAGCAGATGTGATTGTTCACGAGATCATGCACAGCTGGACAGGTAACCTAGTTTCGATCGCGTCCTTCGAGCATTTTTGGTTGAAAGAGGGATTTACAGTGTTCCTTGAAAGAAAGGTTGACTCCTCGCTTATTTCTGATTCTGAAGAGGCTAAACGTAGCAGGGACTTTCATAGTTTTCTTGGCTTGAAGGAGTTAAACGAAACAGTAAGTGTGATGTTGTTTAGTTTAAGTAAATCTAAATATTATATCAGAACTGTTCCAAAGTTATCCTCTGGTTGTGAAATATTGCAGGTAAATGATGTGTTGGGGGCATCCAATCCACTTACTCGACTGGTTTTCGATTTGCATCATGCGCATCCTGACGACGCCATCACTCGTGTTCCTTATGAGAAAGGATCCTTATTTCTTAGATATCTGGAGGATTTGCTCGGTGGACCTAGTAAGACAAGTTAATTTTTTCGACGACCTCCGTGGCCGAGGGGTTTGAACGCCGGGTTTCATGGTGTCGCCGACTCGAGAGGTCCCGGGTTCGAATCCCGGTGGGGGCAGATGTTTGTGTGATGAATACGAACATTTGTACTCCAGTCATGGATGTTAAATATATATTTCTATATAAAATATACTTATATATGTACAGTATATGTATTCTATCCGTTACCCTAGTATCCCATAACACAAGCATTACAGTGCTTACTTTGGGGCTAGGCTAATTGGTGTGAGTGTTGAAAATATTTATTTATTTATTTAACGATTTTATATCAATATTAACGAGCATGACTAACTTTTAGTTAATAGTTACAGTACTCAAAACAATAAGTCTGTACCTACTTATTACTAGTTAAAGTGAATGTTTTGATGTACATTTAGCTAAAGAACAAACAGTAGGATATTTATAACTAATGGGTAATGGCACCAGTGGTTAGCCTCATAACGACTTTTTGAAGTTTGGAAAGCTGGCATTTTTACAGGATTCGTTGGATAATGAAACGTAGTACATGATTGGATTAATTGTTTATTATAGCTTTTAAACAACAAATGTTAAAAACAATCTTTCTCTTTATAAAATATATATTTAAATTCAAACAAAAAATGGCACCTTTTGCCAGTGGTCAGCCTCTAAAATCCAATAATCAGCCTCGATGAACCCAGTATTCAGCCCTTGTAACTGTTAATAAGCATGAGATCAAAATGAGCATTATTTATATCAAAATCAACAATATTATTTATTTCTCTATTATTATTTATAGCTAAATATAAAAAAACAACTCACCTGACCGAAATATTATTGCAAGCAAACAGTCACAGTACTTATTTGTGTTCTTATTTTTTGGAACTTAGTCATAAAAACATCAGTATTTATTTTTACGAAAATCAACGACAATAGTATGTACTTATGCATTTTTATATATTATGTCAATATTCCTCTCAGGTTTAATACACATAACACGAAAGAGAAATAGGTCACTAGCAAATCTACTAATAGTAACTTCTTTGTAAAAACTATTCTTACAATCAAATAATTACAGTCCTAATCTTCCTATTGTTATATATCTCAACTCTCTTATATATCAACAAACATATAGGTGTATCTTATACTCATATTTATCTAATCACCCGAACTGCTACGTATGGCTTCCATGGTGGAAGAGAGTTTCTCTGGAAGATATGTTTATCTTGGCGGAATTTTGGTCTGAAAAATATACAGAATTATTTATCAAAAATTATTTACATAGGTACCTTCTCAATTACTGAAATACAAACTACCTACCTAAATACATTTTATAACTATTTCAGGTAAAACTAAAATGTAGTCTACCGACCGACGTCCTCAAAAAATACTACCCAAATGGGTACAATCGAAGGCACTGTTAGCTACATTTACAAACGAACATAAACCTTGTCGCAACGTATTAAAGTCTATGGGTGGTTAACAGTGGTGTCGATTCTAGCACCATTCTCTAAACCTAAACTTAAATTTGACAACAGTATATCCTTGTCATTCTCTATACAGAATGAAAAGGAGAGACTGATGTTAAATTTAGTTTTAAGTTTAGAGAATCACACCAGAATTGGCACCATTATAGTTCGTTTGCTAGATCGGGGCTGAATACTGGATTTTAAAAATAATTCAAGAACCCAGTGATCAGCCCCGGGGGGCCGACCATTGGATCTTTTATAAAAAAGTAGTACCCAATGGTCAGCCCCCACAATATTTACGTAAATCAGCTATATTTTTATTCAAATTTTATATAATTCAATATATGAAGTAATACATACTTTGCCAAATTGCATAAAAGACCATCACATTTCATTATTAAACATGTTTTTTCTTACCTTTAAAGAGAACCCCACGCGAAGTAAAAACTATGGCGGACATGACAATACTGGGCTTTTCAACCGCCGTCACCTGTATGAACGAGTATATTTCTCCCCCCTGATCCCCTGCCGTATCTATCGTGAGACATATTAACCAATGAGGAATCAAAGTTTCTATTAAAGTACACGTGCTTCGTTTATTCTAATTGTAGCGATATTTATGACTAATAAACGACGCAAAGGGCTGATCACTGGTGCCGTTACCCTATATCGTCTGCTTACTGCGAAAACCAAATAAATGCACTTTTTTACGATATATATATATTATATATAATCACTAAAATATATTATTAAAAGGAAACGAACGATTATATTACCTATTTATTTTCAAGACAATATAAAATTATTATTCCTTTTCAGACGTGTTCGACAATTTTGTGCGTTCATACATAAATAAATTTAGAAACAAATCGTTAAATACGAATCAGTTTAAGGAATATTTGCTGAACTATTTTAATTATGACAAACGATTGGAAAACGTCGATTGGAATACATGGCTATACTCCAGTGGTATGCCTCCCGTGATACCTCAGTGAGTAAACGATTGACATTGTTAGGGTTTTTTGTTGTTCTCGTAGATATTATTAATGTTACTCGGTACCTAAAGCTTTTTTTAAAAGGCCTAGCAAATCTACTCACCTGATCTTAGCCATAATGTAGCTGGTGCGATTGACTACGCTAGCCTGCCTGAACCACATTTCTGTACCATACCTAGTAAAGTGGAGGAATTAGCCGGAAATTGGCGAATGGCTCTATGGGTTTTCTAGGTGAAGGGCAGCTTCCCCACAGGTATTCTGCGCTCCGCCGTAGAGTCACTAGGGCACATGAGCTTGAGTTGAGGGGAGTTTGCTGTTATGTTTTATTTCATTTTAGATACGACATGACTATGGCGACAGCTGTCGATTTGCTTTTGGAAACAATTTTACAAGGCAATGCGAGTTTCAGTGCTGCCGACGTGCAGAACTTGACAGTACATCAACGGATACATTTGCTACAGGAGCTAATAGAGCGACCAGCTTTACCACTCGGACTATTGCGCACTCTGGGCGACGAATACGGGTTCAGTAACAGTAACAATGCGGAGATCCTTTACAGGTGCGCATATTGATGCTAATAAAATAATAAGTTTATAAACATTTGCTTCTACTTTAATTCATATATTTAGAACGCTCTACCTAAGCGTTTCGATTCTCTAAATTGCTGTACCTGCCTTGTCTATGTTACTATTTTGTTACCTCAAATACAAATAAAATAACTTTGAATTTTTACTTTTTCTACAGATGGCTTCGATTATGTATCAGGAGCAAAGACAAAGACAGGCTGACCGATATTTTCAATTTTGTGAATCATCAGGGAAGAATGAAATTCGTGCGACCTATCTACCGCGATCTATATGCGTGGGAAGAAGTGCGACAAAGTGCCATTGTAAATTTTCTCAAGAATGAGCCTCTTATGATGCACGTATCAGCATATACGATTCGGAAGGATCTGCATCTCGACAACTTGTAGGATTTATTAAGATAGTCTATCTAGGTTTATTTTATGTTAATTCGCTTAGTAATAAGAGGGCGTTGTAATAAAACTATATAAAAAATCGCTAAATTTAATGACCCGTATCTTTATTTCCTTGATAACTATAGGGATTAAGGAACCTATGCTTATAGCGTTTTAAGGTCAAAAATGGGAAGGCATTTTACTTAAAAATTATGTAGTAGATAAGAGACAATTTGGTTACCAAATAGGAATAATTATACTGTTTTAAACTTTCATGGGCACTAACATTATAGCTTATAACGGGATTGTTACCATGCACCTTGTTTTCTATGAGTCCGATATTTCGGCACTGTTGCAAGCGCCATGATCACAGAGAATAGATGTTATTGGACTTGCTGTAATCGGCCCGTACCGGTTAACGATATATTGTTTTAAACTTTCATGGTCACTAACATTATAGTAACTATAGTAACAGAAGTAATTGCGGGTAGATGTTACTATCCAATAATATTTACCCGCAATTACTTCAGTTACTCCTTGATCATGGTGCTTACAACAGTGCCGAAATATCGGAGACTCATAAAAAACAAGGTACATGGTAACATTTGGTACAATTGAAGATATAGATGCACATAATATGATGAAGTCGTTATTAGTTTGAATGAGCATACATGTTGCAGGTATTTTCTTACCTCTGCTTTTGATTATATTAATCAAAAACCACTTTTAGACAAATATGGATTAAATGATCATTATGGTATTAGAAGCGAACAACTAGGGTTCATAAGAAGTTATTTGAGCAGCGTGGAACTCAAAATGTCCAAGAGCTTTGAAGAGATTGTTTATAGGTGAAATATAGTTAATTTAGAGGGAGGCGTCCTTCATAGTTCAATTTTAGGGCACCTTTTTTCATTGCATTTTCGAATGATCTCCTTAATTAAAAGTAAAAATGATAAATTTCTTGGGTGAGTTATTGACAGACACTCTCTTGAATTGAATTGGAAGAATGAAGTAGAGAACGTACGCATTAAAGCCTTAAAGATGAAGGTACGATCAGTCCATTGAAATAGCTTACCTCGCCACCATTACATTTTGATCGCGCGTTTAAAAGAGTAAAAAATACACATGAGCGCCACAAGGGAGACGCCTCTGTAGCTTACTCTGCCCTTATAGATTCTCGTCTGCGTTACCTAGTATGAGTTATAGTTATAGGTTAATACCTATCTATTCAACATTCAAACGGCAGGCAGAAACAGAGGCAGAATTTCACGAACTAAAATACATGTATCTTACATAAGATAAAAGAAGTTTGCTTTCTATAATTATGCACATTTGGTGTACGCTACCATAATACCATCTCCAAAGGATATTTAGTTAGCTGAGCAACGCACGAGCCGCTACCGGCGTCGGATAACGGTCGTGTTGTATAGGCAAGTACGACAACGCACTGGCATCCGCGTAACCGCGCAGCTTAAGCCAGAAACATATAACGTGTCGTGGCGTGTTGTGACCTTTGTAAAGTCCTGACGCATCGGTATCATACATTTATTATGGGTTAGAGAGAGATATAGGTTAGAGCGTCGACACGACACGACACGTTAATATGTTTCTGGCTATAGTTAATATTTTTATATGTTTGTGGACTTGTGTTGTGGCACTTAAAAGTCTTGTTCTATATCTTTCTTGCTTTATGAGCTATCATATGTTCCATAGTGTGAATGTGATTTGAATAAAATAAATTTTTATTTAATTTAAAACAATATACTGAAGACTTGGCTGTATGATCTTAGTTTCCCAGGCTTTCTATATGTTATTAATAAAAAAAATACAGATGGGGCTGTATGGACTCAGAATCCTTTTCCCGTCTCAACAGGGACAATTGACCAAAAAAAAATCCTGAATAACCTCAAAAAATAATAGCAAATTCCGAATAGAGCAGAATAAATGAATTTGCAATTTAAAAAACTAAAAATTATTAATAAAAGGTAAAATGTCGGCCTGTAAAAGAGTCCAGGTAAATTTTACTGTAAGCTGCAGGATATTAGTAACTGAACTGTGGTATAAGCAAATTAATCCATTGTTTACAAAATTTTATTAATTATTTTTACACAGTTGCCTTAAATTATTATTTGCACTTACCAAATTAATTAACCTAATTTCAGCAATGGGCCACTTTTGCCCGCACCTGGCACATATTCGATTGCAAATGGCAAGATCCCTATCAATCTGCTGGAGTTATAAAGAAATATCTGATGGGTATGCACAAACCCATATACCATCCATTGAACGACTGCGGGGATGTGGTGGTTTGTATCAATAGCAGAGAAATTGCTTTACGCGGTGAAGACTGGAGAAGACGGGCTTACTTTCATCATACTGGTTATCCTGGAGGTGCAAGCTGGACTTTGGCTTGGGAATTACACAACAAGGATCCAACTATGGTAAGCTCTGAATGCAAAGCAGGACTAATCCAAGAACTTTTGTTCTGTATATGGTGTGTATCTTAACAGTGTGAGAGAAATATATTATTTTTAAGTAATATAGAAATGTTGAACTAAGATGATGAAAAGTTTCATTATGTATCTCTATAGAAAATTTATGATTCAGAATTGTAAAGGCGTAAGTTTGATTATCTACTAATTCCCCTGTAAATAAGGGTCCAACCATTATGCACCCATTCTGCGATGCACCTATAATGCAATCTTTCACTGTGGGTGCGTCCTGGCCGGGGGCATCGCGGAATGGGTATGTAACAATTGGACTCGTAAATAATTGTGATAACACATACTTACATATTATTAGTAAGTCAAATCAAAATGTAGGTCAGTAACTAATGCCTTTCTATGGCCTTTGTCTCCCTAGGTCACAGTCCTATTGGCTCTAGGGTAATTAAAGTAAGCCCCTGTGTATAGCTTTGGTAATATCCCAAATGTCATATATTTATTTAAAGTGGTAATAAACTGTTATTTCAGATAATTAGAAAAGCAGTATACAGAGCCATGCAGGGTAATCTTCAAAGGCGCCATACAATGGAGAGACTGTTCATCTATCCTGGTGAAGACATCCCTGAGGATGTTCTACAAAATGTCACTAACCAGATCAGACAACTCCGACTAGTGCCAACGAGGCTTGACCACATCCCTGAAGAGGAAGTTAAGAATTATCCAAAAGTTATGGACTACCCAGAGGATTATATATTGAAATAATTTTGGCCAACTTTTTGTGTATGTTATTATTAAAAGATTTAGTTTTATTAAAATGAAGATGTAGCTTAAAGGACTACATTGTTTTTTCTAGCAATTGTATTGATGACCATGCCTGTTAGTCTTCTATAACTATACTTTTTTTCAAAATTTGAGTTGCCCGTCACTTAAATTTTAATCAGTTAAAATTTTACAGGAGTTAGTTATTTATCATAATTACCTTTACAAGAACTTGAATAATGTAGAGCACATGACAAGAAAATGAGGAAACAATAAGACAGGTATAGTTAATTAAGTATTAGTCTTTCAACCACAATCTCAATACATATTACAATTAACTTTAAAGTAGTGTGCTTAAGTGAGTTGATGATGTGAATCTGAATGTTAGATTAATCTATTGCAAAATGCATAACCATGTTCTAATAAATTCTCAAGTCTAGAACCTCTATGTTATAAATTACCAATCTACTGTTATAGGATAAACTTACTTATAATAATGGATTCTGTGGTATAAAGCTACTGTTGAAGTAGATAAGTAGATTTCCCTGTCGTAAAATGAAACTACATGTAGGTTTTTGTCACCTTCTTTATTAAAGTGTAATGTAAGGAGTGCCTTATTAAGTATAAGGGCAATAGTTATATTGAGGGAAGGAAGGAGGGTTCATGGTAATCAAAGAATATAAATAGAGAGAGGGAAACTACAAATAATCGGCAACCACTACAAATTTGAAGAGGGGAGGGCAGGGGGGGAATCTCGTCGACTCGAGGCCTTCTTCGACAAATTTTATAGTGGTCGGTAATATCTTGTTGCCACCTAGATCCTCTAATTTACCGTAACAGAGGATTGTCATAAAATTTGGGGTAATGGTTAAATTGTGGTCCATCGTAAGATTCAACATTATCGGCGATATGTACGAATTTGATCGCGTCAGGGAAAATTTCTTTTACGGCTGGCGAATCGGCGAAGTGTACAGCAGTTGGTTCAATATCAGTCTTAATTAGGCTGTCTGAAAGTACTACCACTCCTTCTTCGATTGAAGAATCTACGAATTTAACAGCAGTGGGGACAATTTCTTCTTCAGCTGGTGAATCCACAAATTGCACAGCAGTCAGTTTGATTTCGTTTTCAACGGGGCCGTCAGAAAGTTCTGCGACTGCTTCTTCGACTGGTAAATCTACGAATTTAACAGCAGTGGGGACAATTTCTTCTTCAGCTGGTGAATCCACAAATCGCACAGCAGTCGGTTTGATTTCGTTTTCAACGGGGCCGTCAAAAAGTTCTGCGACTGCTTCTTCGACTGGTGAATCGACAAAGTGTACGGCAGTTGGTTCAATATCAGTCTTACCTGAGCCGTCAAAAAGTTTCTCTGCGACTTCTTCAACTGGGGAATCGACAAAACGCACAGCCGTAGGAGCAATTTCTTCGGCGGCTTCGACAACTGGGCTATCCACGAAATTGACGGATAAAGGATCGATTTCATGAACTTCGGGTTTGGGTGCAGCACCTAAAACGATTGGCTCGATACTGTTGATAGGTGGGTTCAATTCCAGATCTTTTTGGAACGCTTCGATGACGTCAGCAGGGATAATCAAAGGCAGGGTGCTGATGGCAATCGGCTCGTGCGCATCTTGTAATTGTTGAGGTTCAGGCATGGGTACAGCGGTGGCTACCGCCACGAAAGCTAGCGTAAGTAAAAGCTTCATATTGCCTGTAAATAGAAGTCAAATTAATAAATTAGACTAATATTATTCTTAATTACTAATGACAATCTAATCTTAATATTATAAGGTATGACGCATGCCTACTATCAATTGGTAATTACGTTTTAAGTTTTAAAAACAGGCGGACGATTTCCCAGAAGATAATAAACTAATGACCCGATACATTATAATGAACTATAACTATTTATTATTTTCTTACATGGCTTCACACAGTTCTAAAGAGAATTAAAAACGGTAGGGTACAGCTGATTCCACGCTCTAATGGGAGTTCGTGTCTCGGGAAATAGCATCCACTTTATGTAAGACCACAGTAACTATACCTGGTAGGTATCTTTTGGTAGTGTTATGTTCTGCTGGTAAGGCTCTACGGGATAGGGGATAAGGTTATGGGCGGCAAAACGGGTATGGCTTGAGTAGCACATTTATTTCTGTCGCAACCTATCATTGCTACTAGATTCTTATTTCATGGATATTATATTAATAAAGGATTGGAATATAATTATTATGATAACTATATGTAAATAAGGGTGGCAAACAAGCAGACGCATCTATCTGGAGTCCTGAGACTTAACTCACTGAGAGAATTACAACACCAAAAGGACTGTAATTCACTAGTCTTGGGTTTCTTTCCCAGATGGGCGCTTTAATTCGGGTACACCCTCTTCTCTAGGCGATAAACAACAATACAAAAGTCTGGCACTTATATTTCCGGGCATATTATAGGTGCAACCAATGCAAAGTTTGAAGACCTTTTTCCTCGTCGTACAAACGACTCGTTCTGCTTGTGGTGCAAGGAATTGTGTGTGGTTGGAGTAGTATTCGCGATTCACACTTTCATATAATTTTAGCACTGCAAGCGATATAATGAAGTGAAGAAATGTAAGTATGTGTGTAAACAAAGCACCAACACTCACCTGATACTTAACGATATCGGAATCAAAGCTAGATTTGATAATATTCCCTCCCTGCTTATATAGTGGATCAGTGGTATTATCGCAAGGTTTGTGGGCTCAATGATAATGGCAATCAGTGTCTTGATTTGTCCACGTATCGACAACCACTTTGTTTATGTACCTAATGCTTACAGGGACTTTCTAGATACAATGACTTCACCTAGGGGCGTATTTACAATCTGTCGCACCGGGTCACTAACGATTGGCAACCCTTTCTCCTAGAATTATTGAATCAAATCAAAACATAGGTCAGTAACGAATGCCTTTATATGGCTTCCTGCCGCCCCTCGCAAATCTTGTGAGCCGCCCCGGGCCATGGCCCCCTTGGCTCTAGGGTAAATACGCCCCTGTCAGTAACGAATACCTTCATATAACTTCTGCCGCCCTTCGTAGCTCTTGCAGCCGCTCCCCGAGCCCTAGGATAAATACGTCCCAGACTAGACCCAAATTCATGGGTTATTTCAATCAATCAAACAAGTTTATTGGTTATAACAACAGTACAGTGGTTATAGAATACATAACTAGGCATAAAAAAATATTATAACGAAAATGGTCGCTGCTCAGTAAATGCTGCAACAAAAGGTCACAGCACCTTAGATTAAAACAAAAAGGTAAGATACGGTACGCTCATACTAGTATCAAATATAATATGATCAGACTCAACTACTTAAGCAACTCACACACGCACACGTCTGTATATAAACAACGCAGCGCGAGCGAAAGGCGAGTCCGTACCGTACAGCTGAGCAGTAGGTATTGTTGTCCTTTTTTTGATAACAAAATGGGGATTACGTAAATAACATTCACGACAAACCGTGATTTTTGAGAAAAAAATGTTTTTAACTGTTTTACGAATGAAATGTGTTGCAGAGGCATTTGTTATTTGATTTTGAACTATTTGTGTTCTTTATAAAGGCATTGTTTTATCTTTATAACACAGACTATACGCAATATTGTTATATTGAGTGCACATTCAGCGTGTTTGAATGTCCAATTGTGACCAAAGCGAATTGTGGTCGTGCGCCATAACTTAAGCAATCTCTTTTGAGCCGCGAGTGCCGTATCTCCCCTTTTTGTTTTAATCTACGCACAGCACTGATCTTCCATAGCGCTAGTATGCATCAGTGACAGCGTATTTCAATGTCCAATCGTGACTAAAGCGAATTGTGGTCACTCCCCACAATTTACGCGGATCGCTTTTGAGCCGCGAGTGCCGTATCTTCCCTTTTTGTTTTAATCTAAGTTTATAATGATTAATAGAAGTGTACTCTCTGACAAAACAGCCTTAAATTCAGTATTCGGTCAGCAAGCGCCAACTAGTCATAGTTAATACTTGAATAAAGCCTAATTAATTGCTTTTAAAGTGTCCCAAAAACGTTTAGCTCCTATACGCACACACAGACGGCAAACCGCGCAGGCGGGGTATTGACTTGGTTTGTTTTATTCAGTGTTAAAGGTTTTGGGTTTTACTTACTGTTTATTAAAGTGTTATTCGTGTAAGGTTCACTGATTAAAACACCATTTGAATTGGAAACAAACTTTATAATTTTATATAATAATCATCTTTTCCATTACACCAAATTACCGCTAATATATTTGGCCATATAAAAAATAAGGAATACATTAGACTCGAGATTTTTCAATCGTACTATCTAATATCATACATATTTAAGGTAAATAATGTGTTACAGACAAAATTATCAAATTGGACTACGTGAGTTTGCTGATCGATCAATAAGATCTAAAAATTATAAGATAAGAGGTACATTTTGTAAAATTTCATATATTATATTTGATTCATTGTTAAAATGGAATGTTATTAAATGTAAAATAAAATTGCCCAATTCAATATAATGACTGTAACAAACACATATACATCATTCTTTTGGAATACATTTCTATTAATGTGATACCTAAATCTCTTATAGTTATAATAAAACAAATGACTATAAAAATATACATAGTGATAACAAAATCTAGATAATCTTCATTTTAACCATAAGAGGTGCATGAAATCAATAACTTAATTAAAATTCCTTTCGTTATATGTGTATGCTTATTTTTTGCAAATTCTTACTTTGTCCTTTTTCTAACGTTAGAAGAAGAAGAATGTGATACTATCTGATGTGTTACTTGTAGGTAATCAATGAATCATGAGGTTTTCAGAGTACAGTTTTACTTACTTAAAAATATTTTCAATACCTTTCCTTAAGAATAAATATGTATCGACTCTTCAATGTTAATTTGGACTAACATCTTTCATCTTCTAATAAAACTCCTTAACTGATATCAAGAAAGGCTAAATTAAAAAGTCATCACAAAATATAGAGCATTGTGCAACATTATAATACTATACGCGGGCTGCTAAGCATTTAAATACTATTTTCTCTTTTATTCCTCCAACGTAACCGAACCTCAAATACCGGCGAAAAACAGAAGAGAAATTGAGTAGATATTTAAAATTAAATATTCAGCATTAACATATTGTCTCGACATTATTATTGTCCCCTCTAATATGGCCAAGCGGTTGACCATATTAGAGGGGACAATGGCATGGCAATGACAGACAGAGAGATTGAGCTATAACCCACCACGCGGCTTAGTACGCATTGGTGGTATAACTAACAACTGAAGATGCAGCCGAAACCAACGGCTTATCGTGTTTTCCGAAGCACACAAGACTTAATACATTTTTGGTCACCCGCAGATGATAACTTTCACAATCGCAAACCAAAACGCGTCTGACTCTGCGCCATCGAGCTCCTCTCAATCAAAGTGAAATGTGAATCTAATTAAAATGATAATAGGGCATCCTCTCTAATACTTGATAATTATGTCGGTCTATTCAAATCGCGGGTGAATAGGTTCCTCCTTCTAGGCAAGTGCGCTTCATCTTACGCCGCGTATTTAGGCATGCCCGATTACAAGCCTATTTAATTTATATTTAAAAAACAGGAGGCTACGAGAGTGTTATTTCTTTAAACATAAACTGAACTCTGTCGGCCCCGCAAGACATAAAATTATTGAAAATTTCCTTCAGATAATTTCCCCAAGCGTGTTTTGAAACATGGATTGCACTTAAGTTTTCCATATTTGTCAATCGATAAATGAATGAGTGCGCTGTGTGGTAAAAATGTAGTATGAAAAATCCTGAGATTGTTTTTGCAGTGTGCGCTTATTCTAAAGCCTCACACACAAGAGGCGCCCTGCGATGGCAAATAAATTAGTATTTTATCATCACACAAGTGAATGATAAAACGTGCTGAAGTGTAACGATAAAACTTGTATAATTGAAATCAGAAAGCCATTAACTTATTGTTAAACTAACGGCCAGTTAAGCAGTTCCAGTTATCAACCTATTTTTGCAAGTTGTTATGATAATGAAATTTTATTCAAGCAGAAAACACCCCTAATTGGCTTATCTCTTCCTGGACTTTGATTGTTGAAACTGGCCGTAAATGATAATGTTTGCATTTACAATGCTATAATGATTTATATCTTGTTAAAAACTTCTACATTTTCCATACAATGATTCTGCCAACATTATAAGGTTAAGATGATACACCATCGCAGTGAAAAACTTTATCAACATTTAAACGTATTTGGCCAAATAGAGTAAGTATTCAATAGTTACATTATATTATCAACACAGCCTATAAAATATACCACCGTGATTCATAATCTTCATCATGTTTTCTACTATGTAGATTATAGTTTCACAGATAAAAAATAACAAGTAAATCTGAAGCATGTACGTATACGAAATTAAAGAAAATCCATAGTAATGAAACCTTAAATATAACATTTCCTCAAAGGCAACCTGCATTTTATCTGATTTACAAAGAAACATACTTTAATATTAAGCCAAAGGTTACCCATCTTATCTTGTAAAGGACAATGTTAAAATTGGCCTAAGAACCAACACCAATTTGGCATTTATGATAATTCTTAATATATTTTTTGGGATAATTATCAGTATTTAGATTGTGACGGACACTTCCAGTTAAGTAAGCTAAATTAAAGAGTTAAAAAATAATCTGAGACAATAAATACCATATTAAGTGTATAATCTATGACAGCGCTGCAAACAAAACACTCTTTCTTTCTTATGCCGGCACTTCACTTGCTATCCGTATTTGCTAAATAGCAAATGCAAAAGCGTATCTATGTCATTTTAAAACATGACATCAGTCTGTCCTTTTCATTCCTTATTAAGCATGACAAGGACAAACTGTTGTCAAGCAAAGGGCCGGCATAAAACTCGATACTCTGTGGTTGTGGTGCAAGCAGGCAGTTTGCATTCGTAGTAATCTGTGGCATTTGTGCATTCCAAAGAGTAATATAATATACAGGAAAGTGCATTCTCGTTTCGGATTACCTGTTGTTTTTGTGTGTTTATTTGTGATTGTTTTTCCTTTAATTTAACTATTTCGGCCATCGATGTTACCAAAGAGCAGAGACCTTATTACCAAGTGCTAGTGAACTTGTGTCACAACATCCTGAGAGGATCATACTGCCAAATTATTCAAGAACACCTGATACACATTCACGCTGCATATTTACACAATATACATGTGATATACAAATAAATACCATATACGATACAATTATGTGAAAAATAGTCGATAAATAAGAAGTAAAACTACAGTTTTTATTTTATTCATGATTCCTACCTATCCAAGGTTTTCCTAATAGTTATTCTTTAAAATCGCACCGAATAAAATGATGAGTGATTGATGAAATGAAATGATTAGTTCTAATATTAATTCACTTCATACCAAGTTCATAGGTTAACCTATGTTTCATTGAATATTAAACATAACCTCAAAAAACATTTAGTTTTCCTAATAATTTAAGTTCTCAGAAGTGTCCGTCAATAATCTTTGTTTTTACAGTAATTTACTTACGATTTCGAACCTAGAAAACAATATTTCATGATTGTTGGTTCTTAGGCTAACTATGTATGGACGCTGAACAATGTCCTTTGCTTTAATTTTCTTTGTTATTATAAGCAAATTTTTAATAATATTACTTATACCATTACAATTACAGCAGAATCCGTTTATAATAACATCATTAATGTAAGTAAAAAGAAATCATACTAAGCATACTGTTAGAAAAGAAATAACTACTATTTTTGGTGTATATTTACTTTAATTAATAGAAAAAGTATACATTGTATTCTTTATTAAATACGGAACTCTACAAAAGAAACAGATAGTGGCATAAAACTAAATAAAAATCACAGATTTTGTGGAATAAAATCAATACCCCAAGTTCTTATGCTAGAGATGGATTAAATTGTTCGCCATTTCGGTACAAAAATAGGGAATAACATTTATACTAGAGCTTTAATATAGAGCATCAATCTTTTTAAAAAATGCATCGCCAAAATCTGTGTACCTACCCTCATAAACACTGAAAGACCTCTCCTCTGTTTGTTGTACGGTTAATTATAAGAAATAGGTTCAAATGAAATATGTAGATAAGAGTTATTGTATTGTACAATTTCCGATTAGTATTATGCAACAGTACGAAGTCTGGTGGGTCGCTAGTTTTATCTAACAACAAAAACTTCGCACTGTTATTACGTCACAGAATGCCGTTAATACAAAATGGGCGGAGCCATAATAAACGGATTCCACTGTAAGTTGCGGGTTTTTTTACCCGACTACGCAACGCAAGCAGCGCGACGCGCAGAGAGGGTATTGAGTTTAACAGTCTATATATGTATGTATTTTTTACAAGTAAAACTCTCACTAAAATAAGGAAACAAAATTTGTATGACCGCAATAAGAGCGACATTCGAAGTGTATGTGAATTCACTGTCATGGAATCAACTGCACTGATTTAGGACTCGGAAATACCTTCGAGAAAGGGTTTTAGTAACAATTGATCTAACCGTCGTGACAATTTTTAATCATCTTAAAATCTTTTTAAAGCGAAAACTCGAGTATCAATTTATTTTTTCCTTCCAAAAAAATTATCTGTTTCGCCATTTTTTTGCGAATTAGAACGATAAAGGTACTTTAGAATTTTCTTGAACTGGCTACCTACCTACAACCTACTCATATATCAGGGGAAAAACACGCCGATTAGATCAATCATTTTGATTACTCATTAGTTGCTTTTTTTTGCATTAAACCCTCAAATATAACATCTAATTATTGTGGAAAACAGCTTTGTATAAATTTTAAATTAATCGTATACTTCGTAAAGTAGAAACGGTTGTTTTAAATCTAAAGAAAATGTTATTAGAAAAAAATCCACACGGTCCAGGCAGCGCTGACCATTATGCTACTGCATCCCTCATAATAACGTAATGCGATAGCATAATGGTCATTGCATCCGTCCGGATGGCGGAGGGTGCAGGTTCGAGCCCCGTCTACTGCCGGGACCGCGTGGATTTTTTTCTAATAACATTTTCTTTGGATTTAAAACATCTAACAGTTAAATGTTTAAAAAATATAATTAAAAACGGTTGGTTACGAATTTCATATAACATAAAAGAATTCCTCTAATATTGTATCAATACGGAATAATATTAACATCGTTTTAGCCTAATTTATATCGATACCTACATGATTTCCTCTAGAATCTCAATTTAAAACAAAGTGTTTCATTTGGTATATCGACAGTGGAAAAGCTAAAATTGATTATACGCCACTTTGGTGCTGCTTAAAAATGAACTTAATTTCAGTTTTTATTTAATGTTAATTTTAAGCAGCACCGAAGTGGCGTATAAGTAATTTTGCTTTTCCACTCTCGATATACGATTACAGAAGTCTTATTTCAAAGCTGGCAGTGACTTCTCAAGATTGCTTAATGAGCACATATTAAAACAAAGAATATAACAGTAATTTATGTTATTTACGGGATTGCTACCTTATGTACATGAAAGTTTAAAACAAAAAACAATATAACATTATTCTTTATATGCTATTATTTATACACACAGCTAGCTACGGCAGCACAATGTCATTAAAAGAACAGTCGAGGCTATGTTGGTGTACATAGATTCGAATGATTCGCGATGTAAGTGTATCTGCCGCGGCTTTGCCTGTATAACGAAAGTAGCTGAACGAATTGCCTTTTTTAAACGATTTTTTTCATAAACGACAACTTTGTATATTGGTTATGAATGCTGAAATGTTCAGCTAGTTACGTCAGTGAATTTACAAACGATTCTGAATTCTATGATGTTGTTGCTAAGGTCGTGTTTAGTATATATATGTATATACTGTAAGGGCGCGATGGGCCGTTACTACTCCACTCATTTGATCGCTCGAGCCTCTGGCAGGAAAGCGTCCCAGTAACGAATAGACTGCGAAATAACAATGTAAATAAATATCTTTACCAAAATCATGTTGGATTTCTAGGGGAACGGAGTATAAAAAATGTCTAAATATATTTCCTCATTTTAAGTAGCCATGACATTGGAGGAAAAACAACCTATTACTGAGACGGATTTTACGCGCTGACCCGTTATCTATAGAATAGTTGATCGAAGGTTATAAAATTAGTAATTTTTTAACAATTTTTCGAGGAACTTCTACATCATTAGGCTTGCGTATTTATGTGTATGTAATGTTTTTGATTATTTATTTTATCTTAATCGATAGCACGTACAATTCATCAAATATACTTATATCGCCTTATCATATCTGTGATTTTGATTACAATTTTTTTTTGGAATATGTCTATTTCGTGTTTTTTTGCATCATGCACAAAACTTAACAATAAGATAATACCACGTCATAAGTGACCTAAACAAAGATAGGAAATTAAGATATAAGTATATCTTCGGTAGGACAAATATATATTTATCTATGTTTTAAAGATCTATGAATAATTATATGTTTTGCTATAAATCTATTATCCCATTTTACAGGACAATGTCCGACGGATAGGCTAGTTATAATATACTAGCTTTGCAGCCATGGCTTCGTTCGCTTGGGTGTACAATTTTCATCTCCCCTTTTAATATCTCAGGAGGTAAAGTTTTTTTTTGTGCTGCCGCTTTCTGCGATTAGTCTACGCTATAAGCAGAACATTTGAATGTCTTTTCGGGCGTGCGAGATGGCTTTTTCAACATTAAGCACTTCTGTCATTGTTCCATATTAATCTATAGTTAATGTCAGCCCACTGATAGTGCATCTTTTGAGTCTTTTGCTCGCATCGGTGAGAGCCACCGCCAGTTTATTAACATGGTGTACAAGTCTGCTCTAGAGGCCATTCGCCTAACTTAAATGCTTTGGAAAACGCTAACGCTTACGATTTTATTTTGTTATTTCTAGCCGCCTGAGGTTTTCAAATGCCTCGCGCTCTTTATTTTTCATTTGCATTGGTAATAACAATATTAAAAAAAATGAGCGTGAGGTATTTGAAAACATTCGGCGGTCAGAAATAACAAAATAAAATCTAAAGCGTTAGCGTTTTCCTAAGCATTTCCGTTAGGCGAATGGCCCCCTGGTAGCGCTTACCTATTACGTTTATTTTCTCTTTTATAGTGTTGTTTTGCAAGTAGTCGTGCATTTCTGTGCTTTTCACAAACCAAAACCAGTATTTCACAACACAAAGCAGTATGGTGCGAACCACTGAGTTTTGGAATGGTTGCAGGATTTCTTCTACGTTTGAGTAAAAGATAAAGTCCAAATGCTGGTAGGTAGTACAGCAGTTGTAACTGACACACCAACCATCCTCACCTTGCCGGCCTGCAAAAATGCTTCTTCACGCCTCTCTTAAAGGACCCCAGATTGTAGGAATGAGGGAGCACCCCAGGTTACATGCTTCACATTCCAGTACCCTCCCACAATAAATCTTGGCCCTAAGGTAGAGAAGAAGGAAGTGAACGCCTCTAAGTTATTTTTTGGCCTAGGCGGACAATAGACTGATGATATGTTAAAGTCATTGTGTTTGCATTGCACGCGTATTGTTGTGGCTTGCATATGTACCCATTGGTTATTGCGGCAACATGTAGTGTTTTAACTTTTTCTTTACTATTATTGCAGAACCTGCGTGACCAGTTCCATCCGGATGGTTGGTTGAATAAATGCAATAATAGGGATGACGACTATTTTTTTTTAAACTTCGTTTATCAGGTAGATTATCAAATAGTATTGGACACGTATTTTTTCTTTTTTCACATAATATAAACATTGCAGAGATATATCGATTTTAAAAGTAGCATGACGTCACGTTTTAGTACAATTTTCACTTAAAAGCGACGTCACGAGCCCCTACTCCTAAACTTTGACGCGCTTTATCTTTGTCATTTTTTGTTCGATTGCCTAAAGAAAAAATACGTGTCCATTATTTTTTGATCATCTAACTGACAGACTAAATAGAATTTCGTTTACTTTATACCCCGTCGTCACCCCTATTATTGCTTATACTTAGTTTAGATCCATTAGTCAGGTGAGATTCCTATATTAACACTATGTGAAGCATGTTCATTTTCATAATGTTAACTTCTTCGTTTAAATGGCCTGTTATATCGTTACCCCGTTATTAATAAACGAAGACTACTACTACTAGGGAATTAATTTGTTTACTATGTGGGTGAGCATTGTTGTTAACAGACTCATAAGAATTCCCATTTGACTAATTAGAGCGTCTAGCTTCTCAGCTTGTATTGGGAGTACGTAAGTCTTCTAGTTTATTGTTAAAGTCAGTTGGTTCTTATTGCTTTACTACCTGTGCGTAGGGTTTGCCTGTGGTTCTATTTTGAAAGTATAGTTTCTATAAGGGCGCATGCAATTGTTTTGTAATGTTATATGCCATATTGTTGGCACCGTTTACATTGTGGATTGCTGTATTTTTGTTTTGGGTCTTCTATCACTACTGCTCCGTTATATATATATTTTAGTTGTTTTGCAGCTCCATTATTAGGATTATTTCCAATTTTTAAAAGAAAGTAGATAATGGGATCCTATCTGGTCCATATTTACCATTAACGATATCACCTTTAACCGTTTTTCATGTAGTCTCTATAGCTTCCTTTATAGCACTTATAGGAGTGCTGTGATGTAAGTTCTTAATCACAATTCCATTGGGGTCTTTCATGCTTTCTTGTAAGAGTGTGTCTAATAAGCTTATGTTCTCTAGCAAGTTCAAAAAACAACTACAGATATCGTGTATTACTTCAACACTATTACACGATATCTGTAGTTGTTTTTTGGTGACGTTGTTATAGCTGTACTCAGACCTATCTACTATAGACCCAATGAGTTAATTGAGTTTTGTAAAGTCTTCGATTCCATAGAGCATGATTAGAGGTTAATTTAGCTTTTGGCGAGTTTTAGCTAGTATATCTTCTCCTGCATTTAACTGTAGCTCTCTAAATCGGTTCTGTGTGTGGATCTCGTGATCACGTGGCCGTGGTGGTGATGGTGAATCACTAAGTTTCCTTCTTTTGCTTCGACTTAGAATTGGTAGTTTGCCATCCAATTTGTGTACTATTATCTTGTTCCGTATTGTTAACGCTTTCAAGAGTTTGTGGTTATTTTTCTCCTGTAGTTTAGTTTTTTGCTGTTTACGAAGAAAAAGCGGTGGAAAACTTGCTGCTTCATAGTTTTCGTACCTGGCTCATGAACTGCACTTTTTTTCTGCACGGCTAAAGTTTTAAGTATATTCTTTTTCAATCCATATACTAAATGAACTCTTTAATGTGATAAATAAAATAAATAAAAGTTTAATTTTATTGTATATCTCAAGTTTATTTACCAATATTAAAATTTCTCACTTCAAAATTGACTAAATTTCATTCAAACTACATAGGGGATGAATCTCCTATTTTCGTCATAATAACCAACTAGCTGCGCGACAAATTTCAATACAATCCGTCCAGCTGCTATGTGTTGTAGGTCAGTCAGTCAGACAGTAACGTTGGCCTTTTATATGTACGGATAGCATTACCTGTGCCTGGTGCTTCATGTGCTCCCCCAAGTACCGCAGGATAGTGGCCCGCAGTTCAGTGAGTCTTACTTCATCGTATCGCTTTAATTCTTTGATTATCACGATCTATTTATATGTACCCATGTTAATGCTTTATCACGATTTATTTAAAAGTAACGATAGTTTTGTATTAACAAAATCATCTCTCGTATGAATAAGTATCCGTAGCTTAGGGTATCGAAACAACCCTGGTTCCTCCATGTACCGTCGGTTACAAAGCATGTATAGGAAGGTCAAAGGGGAAGATCTTCCACCGTACTGGGTAATGTCGCCGCGGCCCGACTGATGTTTTTTTTTGAGTGTGTAGTATGCTGTTGGTCGCAGATGACCTTTACAGCGTTACCGGGTTTGGGGACGGCGAGATACTAAGGGACTTCAAGCCAAGAATTGGCAAGTGCCTCTACCATAGAGGTATAAGAGGGGGGAAGGCGGCTCTGAGTGTCCGTTTAGTAGAAAGAGAAAGAAGATGAGAGACCGCTAGCTATCTCTCTCTCTCTTGTGACTGAATGGCATCACATCGAAATAGTAAGATGCTTATGGTTGCCAATGCGCATGCGCGATTACAGAGAGAAAGCTAGCGGTCTCTCATCTTCTTTCTTCTTCTATTGGAGGGACACTTCCACTTGTAGTAGAGTCTATATCTCCCCCACTCTATTCTTATACCTTTATGGCCTACATATATTCCAGGCGGAAAGCATCCCCCCACGGGGGGCGTCGCGTCCGCGTCTGGGGCCTCTAGACCACTCGAACCTGAGGGGATCGGCTCAACTAGAGGGCGTCACTGAGACTGATCTCGGCTCTTGTCGTTGTCGTGAGGGGCGGGGAAAAACGCCCGTATACGTATCTATAGCCGGTATAGCTTGTCGTGTGTAGACCTAAGACCCTGAGTACGAGTTTGTGCTCACGAAAACTATCATAGTTTTCGTAATTGTAAATTATGTTTCTGTAAGAAGACCAAAGGGGAAGATCTTCCTCCGAGCTGGATGATGGTGAGTCTCAATTCCTCCCATCGCTCTAGTTATTTCTTTATCACGCTTTATTTATATGTACCTATAATAATGTTTACCTGTGCCTGGTGCTTCATGTGCTCCTCCAAGTATCGAAGGATCGTGGCCCGCAGTTCAGTGAGTCTCACTTCTTCCCATCGCTCCAATTCTTTCTTTATCACGCGCGATATCGTGTCGAACTCCTGTTGACCGCGCTCCACTTTCGCTTCCCACTAGGAAGTCAAATAAGTAAGCACTTTATTATTATGTGAAGGAAAATTTTGTGCAACCGTTTTCACAAGGAAAAGAGGCAGAGGGGAGGATGTGAAAAATCATGATTACTTATTTTCAGCTGAAGCGAAATCAATTTGTGCCTTTATAATTTATTTTAGTAAAATTCAAATGACCGATTTAAATGAGGGCGTTTAGGAAAATGTACGTCATTAGTTGGCGCCACTGTGACGTGAGGTCTTTTGTATGAATATTTTAGAGCGAATAAATCGAACAAGCATTTAAAATGATCGATGAACTGTGACGATATAGGTGATTTGACGGATGAGTAGAACTTTCGCCTCACTACTGCCACCTGGCGTCCGTCATTCCAGAAAACCCTCATTAGTTCCTAAGAAAATTTTCAAAATTCAATAAGACTCAACTTGACTTATGACTTTACCCAATAGGTGGCGCTGCAGCCAAGTTCTAGTATTTAGTTTTATTTTTTCGGGTACACTAGTATACAATACAAAATATACCTCGATAATTTCATTGGATGCTTGTTCAATTTTCTCGGGCCGATTTGCGAGTTCTGCTTTCGCCTTGTTCTCTCTCCGCTTCGTGAGTTGCATTTGAGCGTGCTGCCAATTTTGGAACACCTACGATGGAAACGCAAAAGTTATTAACACCTAAATTTTCAAATTGATGTGATCATAAACATGCGTTTTGAAAAGCAGTAACATTGACCATTGTCTTTGTTACATTATATCTTATAAATCACAGGAATGGATCAAAATTATTTCTTATTATTCTAGAATTTTAGTAGGTGCAAAAGCTAAAGTGACCGAGTAAAAAAACACATTTTTCTTAATTGACATCTCTGAATGTGACAAAATTGAAATGCTAAACTTCGAAAGAAGCTCGATGGCGCATTCGTCGATCGTGAAAATTAAGTGACTTTCGCAATGGTCGGTCATTGGATGGGTGAGCAAAATCTTATTATATTGAGCTCTTCCGTGCTTCGGAGGGCACGTTAAGCTGTTGGTCTCGGCTGCGTCTGCAGTCGTTAGCACCCACCAATCCGCATTGGGCCCAAGTCGTGGCCCAATCTACCTATTCCATCCATCAGTGGGGACAGTAATAGGCTGATGATGATAAAACTTCGCGAATACTATGTACGTGAGCACAATTTACCTTCACTCTTTCATGAAAGACGTCCTTGATGGCGCCGATAAGTCCTAAATAGTCCTTTATGTGCTCGGTAAGAACGAAGAAGTCTGTGTTCGACTGTTCCATTCGTAATTGTTCTACCTGTTGACGGAAGAAGGATTAAATTAACAATAAATTGTTATGATGAGCAGTAAAGGATCAAGTATGAATGGCCAAGTCTGAGAAAATACTATATTTAGAAATATATTGGTAGTGTAAGTGAAGATAAATTAAGAACAGTGAATTATTTTCTCAAACTGAAACGATAGTATATATTAAATATCATTATTTAGCATTTTACATTTAAAAAAATCATGATTTGTTCTGACAAATCAAAATGGCCAATGTCATTTTAAATAATCCGCTGTAAGACTACGTTGCTGCGAGACCTCGATCGAACAGGCGGGCAGATCAAAAACCGAAAGTGGAACTGAGTTGAACAGACGCTCCAAAAGGGATCCGAGTTCTGCGAGTGACAGTATAGGGAGGGCGCCACTGTCTACGTAAATGACATACAAAATATTATGTTTACAAAGACGGCGGGGTTAGTTCCAATATTCGCCACATTCATAAAATAAAGGTCCTGGCCCCCCTCGCATGAGCACCGCGATATGATATATAACGCGTTTTTATAAAATAATTCAATAGACTTTGACAGTTAGACACGCTAAAAAACGTGATAAACTGGTCCGCATTGCACAAGCTCTCTGGATTTTGAGAATTGAGAGATTGTCTGAACTCTCAACATCCAGATCCTTCATCGGGGTGTGTCCGTTCGCGGACAATCACCTAGCGGGTGCGCGTACAGTCGGCAACGGTTGCCACAACCACACCCGCACTCCCGGCGCGCATTGGGACTGCGCTCCTCAGAATGTACGCCGGGTGACCGGTGCAGGAGTATTGTATGGTTTTTAGGGCTTTAGGTAGGGCCCTGCTCATTTCACCCGGCCGAAGGGCTGGCTGTAATGAGCAGGGAGGAGTCCCACATACCTTCTCGCTCCTCCGGTGCTTGAAGGATGCGTAAGGCATTTCTCAGACAAAAAAAATGCCGTTGTTCAAAAAGTTTGCCGGGATGTATAACTTCACGTGCACGTGCACGTGCCGCGGCGTCGTACGTGCGGATTAACGGAGGTTGAACATATTGTTCGAATGTTAAAAAATTGTGTGCACGCTCCCATACATGTCGCCGCCCATACGTGCGTATCCTTTACGGATTTTTATAAATTTAGATCGCACCTCCCTGGAAATGCTTTTAATCTAAATCTTTGTTTCATTTTAATACTAAAAAGAAAGAGATGTAAGTGGTTCTAATTTTCACCACCCCCACGTGGTGCCATTTGGAAATGTGCGCCATTTTCTTATTATAAAAAGTTTGCGTCATTACTAAAATTAGGTATAGGTATAATAGGTACTATTTTCTCGCAAATGCGTTGCAAAACGTTGTATGACAATCGTGCGGATTTGGTATTTAAAAACTCGTGGCTTACATGTAGAGCAGACAACTTGTTTGCAACAACTAACTTATCACCAATATCATCATTCTCTATACCAAGTATAGAGAATCATGCCAGAATTGATATCAGGACAGCGGCGCATGCGGGTTGGCGCCGGAGAGGGCTGCAGGCCTAACCTTTGGATAACCAACGCTTTTTTCGTTAAAAGCGTTTAATTAAACGAAGTCGAAAAGCAGTACGCTTGTCACTGTGACGGGGTAAGAGCGCGTGGGTGTTGTACGGTGTGTTTGCATGCTTGCTTGTGTTAATGCGTTTCGTGTATTGGTTTAATGTGCATATAAAATAGTTAAAAGTATGTATATAAAATCAATGAACTTTTAAGTACGCCTGGATCACGAGTATATTAACTCCAGACAGTCCTATGCTTGTAAAGTTCGAAGGAAAGTTCATTGACTATTATAAAAATGTTTATTATAAAATCTAAATTCAATTGAAAATCTTTCGTTTTTAATGCCAATCAATCATTAGGTTTAAAAAAACTTTTTAAACCTAATGAAGCGCTTATTTTAAAAAGTACAACGTTTAAACGCTTTTAAGAAATAAGCCGTTTTTTCCATCTCTAGTCCGCAGCGTGGGAGAGAACGCGCGACAGAGGCGCGTGCGGGGGAGCGGAGGGCGGTACCTTCTCATGCAGGTCCGCGGCATGGGAGAGGGCGCGTGACAGCGGCGCGTGCGGGTCGGCGCCGGAGAGGGCGGCACATGCGCGCGCGGCGTCGTGCGTTCGCGCGGCCAGCTCGCGCCGCTCGTGCGCCAGCGCCTCGCACGCGCCCGCTAGACGCCGCAGGCACGTGTCTAGACCTTCCACGCGAGACGAGCGCTCCTCGAACCACTGCGAACAAACACAAACAAATCAACAATATTATAAAATTATGTATATGGCATTTGATAGGGTCTAAAATTGTCGAATGCATTACATATTAATATTTCATGTTAAGTATAGATGCCAACAATATGCGGAAGCAAATTTACTATTCTGACATACAAAAATTTAATTGATAGATTATTTATTAAATTAATAAAAAGAACATTGTTTTTTGATAAATATTCACAGTTATGGCCTGCGCAGACGAGAGACTTTTTTCTAAGTCAAAATAGATTGTTTACAACTACATCTAGTAATGCACACGATAAATTAAAAGTACCGCGTACAAAAAGTCCCCCGAATAACCGAGGACACCGAAAGACCGGATCAGACGAAAGTACGCAGGTGTCCCCCAGAAAAACAGAACTCTGTGACTTGGCGTAGCGACGACGCACACAGCGAATTATAGCCGCGTTGCGCGCTCGATCCAATTAAAAAGGATGGACCCAGTTTTCTCATTTAAAACGTTTTGTCATTCTCTTATACTTCATGTTAATTGCAACTTGCAGCAAACGTGCGTTGAGATCGTGACAAGTCCTCGGCGGTCATTTTTTTTCACGATTCTGCGCAAGACCATTAAGTAAGTTTAAATTCACGACACAGGTTTGAAAACGTGCTGTCAAAGAGCTATTACTCGCCATAGCTCGTGTCATTAAAGAAAGGAATCGAAAATAACGATCCAAGACTTTGTCTCTCTCTCGCACTTTACAGAGGATAGCATGTAAGAGGGACAGATTGTCATCATTTTGACGACCTCTGTGGCCGAGTGGTTTGTACGCCGGATTTCAAGGTGTTGCCGACTCGAGAGGGTTCGAATCCCGGTGGAGGCAGATGTTTGTGTGATGAATACGAGCATTTGTACTCTAGTCATGGATGTTCAATATGTATTTCTATATATATATATATATGTATTTGTATTCTATCCGTTACCCTAGTATCCCATAACACAAGCCTTACAGTGCTTACTTTGGGGCTAGGCTAATTCATGTGTGTTTTGGTAATATTTATTTATATGTTATTTTATGTTACTTACCGGATCCGATTCGTCCATTCTGTAGGTGATTTTGTTAACCGTCTCCCCGACTTTGTTGAACAGCCTCAGAACGCCGGCGCCGCTCAGGGCGGACGTACTCGTCGCTTTGGGCAGTTCCGTATCTGCATTGTATCAATAACGAGTCATCATCAACATCCTATTAATGTCCTCACTGCTGGGGCACAGGCATTCCCTTTGGATGGAATAGGGTGATTGGGGCCATGATACACCATGCGGGCCCGGAGGGGATTGGTGGGTACTGATGACTGCAGATGCAGCCGGGACCAACGGCTTAAAATGTCTTCCGAAGCACAGAGAAGCTCGAGATAGTAAATTTTTGGTCACCCATCCAATGACCGAACATTGCGAGAGTTGCTTAACTACAACGATCAACCACTTGGCCATTGAGCACCTCGAGTACCGGTTTATTAAACTGTCAAAGTAACAAAGTTCAAGTCCACATCGGAATTATTAAATAATATATTCAAAACAGATTAACTTTATAATTTTATTATGAATAAGAGAGGCTATTTATTTAAGAGAGGAAAGGTCATAATGCCCGTGTAAGACTACAACCATATACTAACCTGACTCCAAGAATTCCCTGAAGTCTGGATCGATACAGAGGACGGGATGTTGAGCGACTCGGTTCAGGAATCGTTCTAAAGCAGCACGTCGCCGCTCTACGAACTGCGATTGGACACTGCCGGACGAGTTGTTCCCGTTGGCACTCTCGGTAGATGGCGTTGACGTCATTTTGAGTTTCGTCGTGCCTGTATAACAATAAATTAGTGTTATAAAGGAGATTGGTCAAATTGGCCTAAATGCAAATAAAATATTGACATATACAGTAATTCTTGGCGTAATTTATACTTTATTTTACAGTCATTAGATTTTAACGGCCACCTTTAAATAATATATTAATTTTAAAAAAGGACTTCTATTTTTACCGGTTTGGAAAACATACGAATCATTTTTATTGGCTATGGGTGTAGTAACATTCACAAAGACTGATCGAGGTTGTTTATATAACATCAAAACAAATCTATTTTGTAAAGATTGATAAAATATATTTTTTTTTATTACACGGGTGGTATTAATATCCACAACTTTATTATCATTTTTACTACATGCAAATAATAAAAAACTAAGACAATTAATATAGATGGTAGGCGACATCATAAAGTCTATTGCCGTACATTTTTTGCCAAACACCTAAATAAACACATTATAAGGTGTGATACACTAAAAATCTAAAATATGGTTATAATAAAAACATAACAAAAATAATGAAGCTGCTGAAGATATGGCTGTATAACCTACAGCTCTTAGCTTTCTTTGATTAACGAGAGTTTAAAAATTCTCTGTAATCTGTGGCTCATTCACAATCGTTTCTGTTCGTGTTTTTAAAAACATGCACATATCTGTTATTTTACATGCTCTATATACCTGAATCTAATACATAATATCGGTACTTGGCTTGATTGCCCTATTTTCCTATATAAGTTATTTGGTTTTTATTATTCTAATACCTATGTGCCTATTTGCAAAAATAACCTCAAAATCATTCAGTGTATATGGTTTATAGAAGTTCTCAGGAGTGGCCGTCGATAATATTCGTTTCTACGGTAATTTATATATAATTTCGAATGTAGGAAACAATTTTTCATGGTTATTGGTTTTTAGGCCAAACATGTATGGAAGCTGAGCAATCTCCTTTTGTTTTAAGTTTAAATGTACAGAAAATATAACTAGAAAAAAAAGCACGCGGACCAGGCAGCAGACGGGACCGGGCCTGGTTTTTTTTCTAGTTATATTTTCTTTAAACTAGTAATATCTTGGTCTTCGTACTAACGTACTAAGTCTGCGTCGTCGCCCGTTGCTCAATGTGCCCTTTGCTCACACAAACTATCGACACAACACATTCCTAATAATGCGCGGATGTGAAACTTACAACAAGTATAGTATTGAGAACGACTTTGACTTATTCTTGACAAGCCCAGCTACAATCAGACGAATTATAGGGACAAATTATTTTAAATAGGCATTAATTAAATAAGTGGGTATACTCAATATTCCAACTTACGTCTGTTTCTTTTTTTAAAGATAGAATAATTGTCAACTTTAATAAATTATATTATGATATGAGTAAGCATAATATAGTAGGACGAAAGATTGTTAGATAGTTATAGTTATATAAGCATGTTTAGTATGTGGAGGTTATTAATTGGCTTTTAGGTACTGTGTTTTGTTTATTTAATAAGTGATTGATAGCTATAAGTATAGATAGAAGTAAACCTTCCTAAAATAAAATAAATAAATAAAAATAAAATCTTTACACAGTATAAACCAAAGTCACTCCCGCTGTCTGTACGCTTAGATTTCTAAACTACGCAATAGATTTAAATGCGGTTATCAGCAATAGATAGTGATTTAATGTACTTAATATGCTCGTAAGCAAAAATTAGTATTCACCGAAGCGAAGCGAGGGTGGGTCACTAGTTTAAAATAACTTAAGGAAAAAGAAGCTACTCTTTGGAACTACACTTAAAACTACACTTCACTGAGATGTAAAAATCTGTCTTAAAATAGCAAAATTATGTGTTGATTTAATTATTTATGTATTTATATATATAACGTATAATATGTATTAATTTTATATAACATTTTCTTAACGTAATACCCAGTAAAAATGTAGTAAAACACACACATTCAGGACACGAAACATTTAATTGTAAACTAAGTAGTTTTTAAAATATCTTTGGGAGAAGAAACTCATTTCTGTAACACAGGGTTATTATCCTAGCATAGAAATCAGGGTATTCATTCTTTCATGTACCTACTTTTGTTGAGCAATAATATTATTATTATTACTTTTTCTTTTTGAGGGTAATAAACAATAAAAATACGGTTTATTTTGATAGATTGCTGTAATAACATAAACAGATAATGTGGCTTATTGATTCTGTAGATTTTTTAGCAAACAAGTTCAGCTCTTGTAGTATGATCATCGCAAGATAGTAAAATATATCAAAGTAATCTACATTGAACTATTAGAGCCTGCGCAGCGTTAAACGGGAGCACGGAGCGGGCGTCCGCTCCGCATGTTTGTTTCATGTTATTTCATAGTGCAGCGTTGTTCTATGAAATGACAAAAACTCAAGCAGAATGGACGCCCGCTCCTTGCTCCTGCGACGCAGTGTAGGCTCTTATAATCAATTGTATTATTTGAGTGGGTCAGAAACTATAGTATCGTTTTGCGTGGTGTACTACTGGTCCCGGAGACGTATCATAAACTCTTAAAGCGTGGCAAAATCAGTGGCTGAAACAGGAAGTCAATCTATTGTGCGTATATGCTATCTCGCTCTAACAAAGAACTTTTAATGGTTTTAAGAGTTCATAATTGTATACTGATCCTTTACAAAATTTATTAAGTAACAACTATCAAAGAAGTTGCATATTTTTGACCAGAATTAGAATGATATCGAAATATCTATTCTCAGCACTGATTGTCTTGAAGTGCTAGGGTTAAAGTAATACTGGGACGGATCAAAGCACTTTATAAAGGCCTATTTGCAGAAACTAAATGTCTTTTAAGTTTTATTAAACCAATGTTTTAAGATTATTATACAGGTCCAATTAGTGACGTCAACATTTTTTTTTAGATTCTTCGCACCTGGGGGTATCCGAAAATACCCTATGTATGTTCCGCGATTTTTATTAGTTTCCGAGTTATATTTTTTTTGTGTATTTCTAATGATTTCTGCCAGCGAGGTTTCAAAAATTCATATGTTTTTTCGTAGTGGGTAATTTGCAGTCTTTTTTTGGGACATAATTGTCTGGAATGTTGTTTTAATAAAAAAAAAACAGCTTTTTGAAATTACTTAAAATTACTCAAAAAATCATAAAAAATACACAAAAAAAAATATAACTCAAAAACTAAGAAAAATTGCGGAACATACATAGGGTATTTTAGGATACAACCAGGTGCGAGTGCAGCTAAAAGAAATTGTTGACGTCACTAATTGGAAAACCCTGTATACACTCACCCACTATACTCTTCTCAGGCGCGGGCGGGATAATCCTACCGGAGCGCAGATATTTCTCAGTTAATTTCTCATGCAGACCGAGGAAATCGCTGAAGCGCCTCAGCACTGCGAATTCGTGCTTGCTGAATATTGGCATGTTGGTGGATGTGATGACCCGGTAGGCCACATATGAGCTCATGCCTTCGCCGATCTTCTGTGGCTCCGTTATCGTGATTAGGATGTTGTTCGCACGTTCAGTAGCTATCTGTCAGAAATAATATAAGAAGATCAAGTAGGTAATGTTGCAAGAGGTTCATGTGAGGTGGTATAACCTGCCCTATCCCTCGATGTTATACACCGTAAATTTTAAGTTATCTGAAAAACCATACCAGCTAATTCAGGCAATCATGAAGGTTATATTTTCGCAAAAAAAAATCTTTTTCAAATACATCTCAATGTTAACTCACTAATTGTGCTATTATGAAAACTTAACAATGTCAAATGTCATAAATTGATTCAAATAAAACTTCTTTCAGTACTTTGAACAGATAAAATAATTCCATAATAGGTAGTCTTAGTCTTAGTTTAAATTAGTACTGTTTGTGTTTTATATCACTATATATCTGTATGGCTTGAGTAAATCAAATCAAATACTTTATTTGTGATACAAGGATTAAAAGTTGTACGAGTGTTAATTTGTAGAGCCTTGATCAACCCCATTTGGCATACAAATATAATTTCCAAAATCTATTCAACACAATGTGGGCATTATCAAATCATAATGGATTATCAAATTATTTGCTCGCAGTGTCAAGAAAACGTAACTCCACTAAAATGTCAAACAATATTTCTAATTAATACGATAAAGGAGAAGACATACTGACAGTTATTCCACTAAGCACTTTTTTTCTAATGAATTTTATACCTCTTCCAATATAGGACTGCTTAACGTAGTAGTTATGGCTGGAGGAGCATTTCGAATTGTTGCTTTCTCCATTTCATCTTCAGTTCCATTTACTTCTGGATCCAAGCTAACTTCCTGCAAAACCAATTGAAGATTACAGTATTAATCACCTGTTTATTAAGTTCAGTATTATGTAAAAAAAAATACAAAATAAACACATTTTGTGTAATATGAACCTCTGTGTCTATCACACATCCTCATCCGTTACCCTAGTATCCCATAACACAAGCCATACAGTGCTTACTTTGGGGCTAGGCTAATTGGTGTGTGTTGAAAATATTTATTATTTATAAGTCATTCACTGACTAATATTGAAAGGACATCGACAAAATCGGCATCAGCATGCCCAAAAGTAATTAATTTAACTTATTAGCAATTAATCATAGTAAACAGACAATCTGTTTAAAAAAATTAAAAATAAAAGTTCTGTAACTAGATACTACAGTCTGTTCATCCTAACTTGTCCTATTTGGAAAACAATCTTGGCACTCCTTTTTATTGAAAATACAGCATTAAAAATCAACTGATAACTGGATTCAATAGCTTTCAGCGTATAATAACAATTTATTTTAATAGTTTATTGGCTTCTTTATAATTTTATTTTTAAATGGGTGATTTTGTTAAAAATGTTGTGCCAAGATTGTTTACCTTAATAAATGCAATATAGGCAAACATAGGTATTTATCAACATAAGAATAGAACTAGGTACATTAGTTAATTATACTCATCACTAGTTTTTATATTATATATATTAAAAGATTATTTCTGAAATTATGTAAAGATAGTTTATACATATAATGGTATCGATTCTGGCATGATTCTCTAAACTTAAAACTAAATTTAACATCAGTCTCTCCTTTTCATTCTGTGTAGAGAATGACAGGGATGCACTGTTGTCAATTTTAAGTTTAGCTTTAGAGAATCATGCCAGAATCGACATCATTATCTGTTTATTTTTATGAAAATCATAATGATAACCAGCTACATAAGTAATGACTGATAGTAAAATATAGAAACAGGTAATAGGAAAGACTGAACATTTCATTTCAAAAGAAATCTATTATTACAAAAGTTAGGTATAGGTATCATAGGTGCCAACTGCAACACTCATAAATCAATATGAATATAAGCATTTATTATTTTTATTATTAATTGCATTTTATGTTATTTTATGTTAATGCATATTATTTAAGTGCTTACATAGAACACTAAATCTATTCAGAATATATAAAGTGTAGATCTTTTACGATTAAGTATAATAATTTTAACCTCAAAATCTAATAAAATCTGCAGTAGGCCATAGTTCCTCAAGCTGTCCGTATTTCAACAACTGCCTAATGAGAGTTAATGAATGATTCTGAACACAACTAGCATTTTCTCATTGCTGTGAGTTCTAGGGAATTCAATGTATGGGGAACGAGCAATGTCCTTTTGAAACTATACATTTTCCTAGATAGCCCCGTGGAGAGAGTTTAAATGGCAGCTAAAAGTTTTTATAGGATAAATAAACCAATTTGAAGTTTTAAACATGAGAGTTGATAAATTAATGGAAATGGTCCCTAAAATATAAAATGGGAATAGAGTCACAAAGTTTGTAACTTCATCCTCTGGACAGTGAAAGTTCTAGTCCTGGGGGTGATACTACTAATAGATAGCTAGTTATAATTAAAAAAAAAATGTTCAAAGACAACACAATAAAATATACGATGTTGTCTAAAATCCACATAAAATAAATTATTTATAAGTGGGTATATAGAATAATTTAGAATGTATTTTTATGTATGGACATCTCAATAAATAAATAAACTCTTATTGATTTGGTAGATTCTACTGATATAATTATGAAAGCCTAATGACTTAAAGCAAATTTTATTTTTCAATAAATTTTATTCTTGTATGTAGAGATAGTTTCCTGTTAGACCTGTTTTACTCAGAAAATTGGGACTTGCTGAATAATGTATATTTTACTACTCAAAATGATTTGTTTTTAAATAACAAATTATCTTGCATAGTGCAGCTCAGTAGATGAAGTGTGAGTACAGAAGTAAAGAATTTTGTAATTCACTGTTACAAAAAATAACTCCACTGAGTCATATGTCAATAAACACATTTATTACTGTTAATATGAAAAGAGCACGTAAGCAGCAACAATCTAATTAACAGAATATTTATGTATCGTGTGTGAAGTAACTTCTATCATAATAGTACGAGAATACGAAACGGATAAAGGGGCGTCACCGCAGCACCCGGCTAATACCGGGGGCGGACGCGATCACAGCAAGCTAGTAAAACAGGATTCCATTAAGATACCTGGACCGCAGACGCGAATAGATCTTCTTCCTCCCTGTTATCATTGTTAATGTTCACAGTGCTAAATGGTGGCGTGTCCGATTCCTCCGACATGGTTCAATGAACACAATTAAAATACGACCGTGAAGAAGTAATGTAATCTGTACTATTCCTAAATATATTGTTCTTTGAAAACCGCGATAACTTTACCACAGAACTTTACCAACACGATAATCGCTGCGGTCCGAATTGCGCGATTTCGTTCAATTTGCACTGATGGCGCGCACATAACTGGTCCGATATGAACGAAGTATACAAATTGTTATTTCTTTCCCTTTATTTAAGTAAACTATATGTTTATGTATTGTATGGCTCTTCTTAAAATTATTTGTATTAGCTTGGCTTGACAAAACTAAAATAAAATATTTTGGAAACTTTATAAATAAGAAACACTCCGATTATTCTATTGATAAACATCACACAACCGTTTAGTTTTTAACGGTTTCTTTACTCTTTGCTTTAATTTTCTTGAACCGTCAAGTCATTAACACACGTAAGTGATTAATGTGCGGTCCGAATTGATTGCCCGCAAATAGTGCACATACAATAGCACCGTAATCAATTTGAACCTATCATTTGCACTGTTCGTAACGTTGTTGCAGTGTTTTCGCAATTCGGACCGCAGGGAATGTGAACGACGACAATTTGACAGCACTGAACTGACAGCTTTTTGTGACGCAGCTGACGTTAAAAATTATTGGAAAGTACGTTCCGTTTCTACGTAGCGAAATCCTTTACCCATGGTAGCCTAAACGCTGTTTGTAGCTCTGCCATTACAGGAATTTCCCCTCTGTCAAAAGGTACAAGCAAAGAGTAAAGTAAGTATACGTACAAGACCATGAACTACTACTTCACACACGCGCGACCGCTACCATTTTGGATCATACCGTGTCGCGAGTCGGAGCTCTTTGTCAGAGCTCCGACTCGCGACACGGTATGATGATGATGATGAATGGAAAATGATCTTGTTTCCTCATGCAATCATGGTGAAACGTGGTGTTTCCTATTATGCACAAGAATTTTTAATTATTAAAAAGTTAGTATTCTGGTATAAAGTTCAATTAAAAGAAAAGGCGATGAATGGCGAATAATTAAGGACAAAATGATTAGGTAGAAATTCATAATGATGTGACGAAAAGTGAAATGAATCAGATCAAGTTCTTGTTGCTGCGTGAAGCCAGAAATATATCAAGGGGTCGTGCGTGACGCATCGGTTTCATACATTTATGATGAATTAGAGAGAGAGAGAGAGGTTAGAGCGTCGACACGAAACTTAAATATGTCTCTAACCATAGTAAATGTAAGAAACCTATGTGCTTCTGGCGCGCCACACCACAACTAATACGACACGTTAATATGTTTTTGGCTTAACTCGGAACGCAGTCGTGGTTACGTTCCGACCTACAGGTACAAAACGTAGCACAGATACCACAAACTGTCAAATACTTTGAATGACTTGTGAATCTTAACACTGTCTTCATAGAGTTCAAAGTCAGTTAGGATAATTTAACGGTTTTAGGGAACGACGACCGTTTCTGTGATTGTGTTTTGGTTGTGTCACTTGTGTCCATCTGTCACCTCCTGTCTGTTTGTCATTGTCAGTCGACGATACAAAACAACTGACTGAAAATAACAAATAACTTGCACCATTTGCGTTACATTATTAATAAGGTTTTCTTGCTTTTACCGGCTTAAATTAAACCGGCGAAATCGACATTGTGTATCAGTGCTCTTTCCACTAAGGTAACTAGCATGATTTTTATTGAAAGTAGGACGTGACTTATCTGATTGTGGGAATACGTGGTAAAAATCTTTACACATATTTCAGGTCAAAATGAACGTTAATGACAAAAAGTCGAAGATTCCAGAGGCTCCAAAAGTAGGAGGAGGAACAGTAGGAGGTGCTGGGAACCTACTTTCAAGTGTTGCTCCGCCGTCGCAGCTTCCTAATTTTATCACTTCGCCAGCTGCGCCATCGTCTGAGGTTTGGGATGCATGATATAAAAAAAAACTTTCACCACACAAATACGGCCTTGTATAAAATTGATCAGGTTAGGTACCATAAATAAAGGGCTCTAAAGATCTCAATAATTTGTTGGTAGAACAGCTGGCATGCAGCAATCTATAAGAGTTCCAAAACTTAGATATACAACGTGTTCCTGAGGTTATACACTAACTTTGGCATTTTATTCAGACTATTAAATTGATCATTTTTTACTATGGACACTTTTATGAATTCCAATTTAAATAAAACTAGTTTTTACGGGTTACGGGGGGGTTTTTTATTAAAAATCATTATTCTGACGATGCAGACCTGAAAAGGCTGCGAAACATCAATAAATAAATAAATTTTCGTGCATTAACCCGTAAAAACTGGATTTATTTAATGAGTGATGTGCGTGAAAACCTAAGAAACGAATTCCAATTTCTTTAACATTTTTTATTTTCATACAAACTAAATGTTTAGATGTAATTTATCTTATATGAATTACTCTTTACCTGAGCTGGCAAAGTCGCATTTGAAACTTTGGTTCACATGTCTACATAAACTTTTTTAAACTTTTCTTGATGTCAACAATGTATTTTTTTTAATTTTGACTTTTGAAACTATGACTTCATGACCATTGACAAAGAGTTGATAGTTTGAAAGTTTTGTGTGCACAAAGTGGCAACATCTCACAGATAAAGACTCTTTCTCACTGCACAATACAATGAAGTTGGTTAAACTTAAATTACCAATAACTTAAAACCTGTGCTATTTAAACTACTACTTTCTTTGTACGATATCTTTAACAATAGCTATAGAAGTATTATTCAAAGTTAATGTATATCCTCAGGAACACACAAAAATTTATTCATGTATTAGTATTGATACTTATTAGTTGTTGTTATGCTATTTCAGGTTCAGAATATTGCTCAGACTGTAAATGAGCCTCAACCATCACCAATACCTGTGCAGCCTGTCATTGTTCAACCCAGAGATGACTCACCAAAAACACCTGAAAATTTTAGGTTTGTCTGTGATTTCTATTTTATCTCTCTAATCACACCAATTATCTTTCCAGTGGGCACTTTGGGCAAATGCCCAGGGTCCCGCAATCGATAGGGGGCCCCCTCAGATCAAATACAAAGTCCCTCGTTCCTGTTAAATCACCAAACGGAAGTCATAGGGCCCCTTTATCCTAATATGCCCAGGGCCTCCAATAGGTCAAAGACGGCACTGCTGGTAACATATGATATCTAAACTGTTTAAATTGAAATAACAGCAATGCCAAATGTCTAATTATTACAGTATATGCAACATTTGAAAGTTCTTAATGAGACCATATCAAATATATACAAATTAAGTAGTAAATGGGTTTACCTGTAAAATGAGTTTTTTTAACTTTTTATCTCATTATTATAAAAGTTGTAATAATATTTTTTCCAGTCCAGCTATACCTCTTTGCAAAGGCGAGCCTACTCTGTCAATTAGATCACCTGAAGACTCTCAGACAACTCTATCTCCAGAGTCAATGCCTGACTCAACTCCAGAAGTTGAGAAACTTGGTAACATTTATGTTAGCTATTTTAATTCATATGCATAAATTCACTCAGATAGGTCAATTAAATTTAATTCTTGTCAAAGTGTTTTTATTCTATTGGTATAACAAAGGAACTTATATATAAATTGAGCTGTCTGAGTAAACCTCTTAGTGTTGATTGTTTTCCTTAGCCACCTGTGTTTTTTGACCTTTTTCTCATGATCGATCAGATAGTTCTTGTCTACCTGTAAAAACTTTTTCAATGAGGTCAGAACCGATCTGGTCTATAGACCCGCTTTCATGTTGAATTGGTAGGAGACAGAAAGGCGAAAAAAGACCAAGTAGCATGGTACCCCAACATGCCACATTACCAAAATATTTAGAAGTTAAGATTGCCAACAACAGTCCTTCATAATAAGAATTATTGCAGGTCTATAGGTGTTCGATAATAACCAGAAAATCATTACCAGGTTTTAATTATTATTACTGTTTATTGGAAGAGAGTGGGAATTATTAGGTGGGTCAATGGGCCAGCTCACATACAAAAATTTTTGAACCCCTTTCAAAGAAGTACTCATAGAGAATAGAAGAGTCTAAATAAAATATTTCCTGATTTCTTTGGATTGCGATTACGTTATACATATCCCTAAGATGTTATAGTTTGGTCCAATTATTTTGTCCTCAGGGGACATAATGCCCGGAAGTGGATTGTTCACATGGATGAAAGGCGCTGTGACATCTGGCGGTATTTTGCAGCGTGTTGCTGAGAAAGCTAAGAGTTCTGTTGACTCTATGATCACTACTCTTGACCCCCAGATGAAGGAGTATCTCAGTATGTTATGCTTTTTCATTGTTTAAATCTATAGAAAAAAAACTAGAAATAGTAAAAAAGGAGGGTTTTCTGGATTTTATCTATATAGAAAGGTGTTAATAATCCTTTTATATTTCCTATTGCTATTTCAAAGTTAGTGAGCAAATTATAACATTCCCTAAGTGAGGAGATTTTAGGAGATTTAACCTACTTATTTTATCCTTAATTCACTAGCAGCGCCCCCTGTCAATATCAAAAATTTTGGTCCTACATCTTGGTCCTACTGTATAAGTTGTTCTTTGTTTACAAAATTGGCAGATGCCAGCCTCCAATATCTTACTATTTGTGCAGAAAAGTAAGAATCTGTATTATTGTAAAAAAAACAGTGTCAGACGCGCGTGAATTGAAGGCATAATTAAAATTCTGCATTAACTGACATCGTTAAAATAATAATAGCACTTACGCTATATAGCCATTGTTAAGTAGCTTATACTTTAATATACACAAAATGTTCTTTATTTTAGAGAATGGTGGAGATATTTACGTTGTGGTAGCTTCAGACAAAGATACCAAGGTGTCCCCAATACGAGAAGCTTTTCAAACTGTGTTTGGGAAAGCTACAGTAGCGTAAGTGATATTCTTTCTACAAATATTATAACTGTGAAAGTTTTTATGGATGTTTGTTAGGCTTTCACGCCAGAACGGCTGAACGGATTTGGTTGAAATTTGGCACACATGTAGTTTATTATCTAGGTTGACACTCAGGACAGGCACTTTTTATCCCAGAAAAAATTTTAGCTTCATCTGAGATTCTCAAAAAACTAATTCTAATGCGGACGAAGTCGTGAGCAGAAGCTAGTAGTTTCCGAATGAATTCTTTCCTTTCCCACTCAAAATTCTGTTTAATGTGGCAGTTAAATAATAATTCCACAAAAAAAATACTGGTTTTTATTTAATTACGTAAAAACATCTCAACAGATTTGATCAAAATTCAATTTTGAATTCTCTAGTGTTGTTTTTTGAGAGACCTATAGTTTTACCATACTTTATCAGACCAGGAGATCGATACCAAACGTCTATACTTCTAGTGGCGTTGTATTGCTTAGCCCACCGTTCTCTATGTCTTTGTGCGGGCAATAGGCTTCTTTACACGGAACACAAAGGGGCAGAAAGAAGGGTTTTGTGGGCGAGGCAGGCGCTGCACAGTTATATGTGAGCAAATGCTCATAACTTGACCAAAACTTGGTTCTGATTGCGTCGTTGCTCTCGGGTGTGAGCGCTAATTGGTCCGATTGTTTGATGTCGCGTCGTTTGATTGGCTATTTTCTATTATTAGGAAGTGTAGTGGGGGCGGGCCGGCGACATCGGTTCCCGTATAAACGATTTATGATCATTAAACAAAACTAGTTTTTACGGGTTAATAATGCACGAAACTTTATTTATTGAGGTTTCGTAGCCTTTACTAGATCTATGATCATTTTTTTAACTTCTCTAAGTTCTGTGCTTATAATTTTTTTTTCGGTCAAATTCTCAGGGGATTTCCCGCTCAAAGCGACGTAACCGCCGAGCAACCCGTAGGCTACGCCGCCGCCTATGCTGCTGCCAAACAACGGATAGCACATTTGCGTTCAACGCGATCAGAACTAAACAATAACGTTCCTGTCGTCGCAATAGAAGGGTTCCTGCAGGAGACTGTCAGCGACAGGTATAGTTCGAATGTGTTCATTTTTAAAGTATATTAGAAGATTTTTTTCTAGTAAAAAATTCTTTAGTCACATAATCAAAGCATCAGAGAGATATACTGATTTGAAATGTTGCATGACGTCACGTTTTGGTACAATTTTTACTTAAAAGTGACGTCATGAGGCGGGACTCCCAAACTTTGTCACGCTTTATTTTTGTAATTTTTTGGTTGATTGACTAAAGAAAAAATACGTGTCCGTTATTTTTTGTTAATCTAAGTGACTGACTAAATAGAATTTTATTTTCTTAACCCCTTCGGCACCCCAATTGCTTTTTCTTCTTTCAAATGTTTAACAGTTGTAAAGGTATTTCTATTTACATTATGGTTACCTACAATGCGAAGAAATGGCCGATGCCTTGCAGCCTAAATACTAAAAATAAGGTCGTGGTAGCATAATTGGTCAGTCCATCCGCCCAGATAGTGGAGGGTGCGGTTTCTAGTCCCGTTTGCTGCCTGGACCGCGTTTAATTATTTCTAGTATTTTTTTTGAGATTTAGTATTATTATATTAGTAGACTAGAGACTAGTCTCAGTTCAATTCCCTGGGAAATGAACTGCAACTTCAGTCTCAAGGCATCTGCTTCCTGGATTACGTTTAATTTTTTCTTGAGATTTAAACATCTAGCAGTTAAATGCTTAAATAATAAAAATATAACTATCATAATATTTGTAGGTGGTTCGACATATCCCTATTAGTATTATCCCTGCCGTCCCTGGGAATTGAACTGCAACTCCAGTCTCAAGGCACGCCGGTGCCGGGCGCGGCAGTCGCGGCTGCCAGTGCGGCAACTCCAATAGACTATGAACACAAGCAGACCGGATATAGCGTCACTATTGGATCTATTATGGCGGCCAGCTTACAGGTGAGTCCTACTCAAAGGACCAAGTACTGTATTCATAAAATTTAACCTGAAAAAAATGACAATATCGCATCTAATATGGCCGCTAAATTACAGGTAAGCCTTGTGCTCGAAGGACTAAGTTACAGTGTTCAGCCAGTCTGCAGCCTAGCGAGGCCTTTAAAATTTGCTAGTTTTCAGTAATATAAGCAAATATAGTCACACTATTGCATTTATAATATCAGTTACATAACAGACAGTCCTATCTGTCGTTCGCTCGAAGAAACAATGACCATAACTGTAGATTTGAATTATTTCCTCACAATATAAGTTTATTTCCATTTGTACAAAACATAAACTAAAGATATTATATCACTAGAGTAGCCCTGCGGTTTCATCGGCATTAGTTTGAGGAAAAAGATTATAATATAATAGGTCACCCTTAAAAGATAGACTGCCGCGGACTTTTTTTTATAGAACTTTCAAAGGAGAATAATTCTGTAAGACATGCGTTACCCTATGTTGTAAAGGAATACCATATATACCCCGTGCCTCGCATCTGGGGTTATTAGATGCAAGCTTATTAATTCCTGGACATTTGCACCCCCTAGAATTAAAACTTAAAATTATAAATCAAAATAAAGGTCAGCAACTCACGCCTTTATATGGCTTCTGTCCCCTCGCAGCCCAAATACGTCCCTGCACTTAGGTGTATTTATAGTAATATAGTAAAAAAAATGCGATTATTTTTTCGGGACTTTTTTCTCAATAGGGTATTGACAGTATTAAAAATAAAGTGCCAACTGTTAGCATCTGTGTTTAGCATGAATATTGGCAAGGATTTTCACTATTTTTACATAAAAGGGGGTAGCGGGTTAAGGGGGGTTTGGCGGCCCCACCGAATCTGGTAAAATCGTTCCAAAAATCTTGAAGAGGCTCGAAAAAAAAGCAGTATAAGCTTTTTACCGACATTACAACCCCAAACGAAAACACAGTAATGGCGAAAAATATGATTTTTTGTGATTTTTATTTTTTTCAACCAGTTTAATTTATTTTTAAATGGTTTCAATGCTATTTCAAAACTAAAAAACAGTTAATTGAGAGAAATTAAAAAAATCTTTCATTAATATTTTTACATTATCAAACCTGTGTTAATAAATATTTATGGGTGAATTTGATGTCAAAAAATTTTTTTGACATCAAATTCGTGATCAGCGACCTCAAAAATCCCTATAGAGATGTATTTTTTATAGCAAAGACGCATTATACCAAGTACGCACCGTAATTTACCGAAAGTTGTAAAATCAAGTTTCAAAAAATCGCCCCGCTCACCAGACTTGACCAAATTGAGTCCAATTGCCTGCATTCGAAAGAGGGCGATTGCCGCTATCTATACTATACAGCACCCCTCGGGAAAATGAAAATAACCCTAAAAATAAGAGGGCTGAATCTTGAAAATGACGCGTTTTTCACGATTTTTTCGCATTTAAACCTTAAATTCACATGTTTTTACTTGACCAAAAAATCTGAAAAAATTCAGGGGACTTCCACACATCAAACACAAATTTTTAATTGCATTTAAACCATTTAAAAATAAATTAAACTGGTTGAAAAAAATAAAAATCACAAAAAGTCATATTTTTCGCCATTACTGTGTTTTTGTTTGGGGTTGTAAAGTCGGTAAAAAACTTATACTGCTTGTTTTTCGACCCTCTTCAAGATTTTTGGAACGATTTTACCAGATTCGGTGGGGGCCGCCAGACCCCCCTTAACCCGCTACCCCCTTTTTTCATAATTTTACTAAAAACCCACGAAAAAAAAAATAGTTTTCTTATCTATTGTCACGTGACCCAAAACGCTTGGGATTGGCGGAGCCTAAAATGACGTCACACGCAAGTAAACTTCTGGTTAAAGTGACATTACATTGTATCGTTTGACGTTTAAATAACGAGTCCAGAGAAACGTTTGCGCGGCACCTTGAAAATGGAGTTTCTGATTTGGTTATTTTTACACAGCAAAATGATGAATTGGATATTCATCATTTTGCTGTGTATTTCAGTAACCAGTACCTTTACGGATTCCATAAACGTTAGTCAAGAACGTAAGATCGTTTTCTAAAACTTGTCAAATACCCTATTCCGGAACCTGGGATATGTGCTCTCAACCACCTGGCAACCCTACTCGCAGCCCTTAGAGTCTCGAATCGAGATGTATTGCCTTTTCTCAACTAGGCCAGTGGGTCTAGTGGACAAATGCTGATAAAAAAACTTTGTCTACTCTATTAACCATATCTTATTTTATGATACAGGTCCATCATTTTGAATGGCAAGAGGCGGCGACTGGAGTTTCTCGGCGTGAAGTATTACTATTAGCTGCCAAATCCCTCGCCGGCACGTACAAGAAGCTACTCTCAGTCTCCGCTGCAGAAACATAAAATATTCCGCCTGAACTCTGTTAAGGTAATTAAAAATATTATGTGTGCCTTTTGGTTGCAATACACAAATGCTACGAAGAGGCCCTAAAATTGAGCCTTGAGGGACGCCTCTCTCTTAATTAACCATTTTTGACCTATAAGCAATCTCTTCACACCTCTTGGACATTTTAAGTTACACTTACAGTTTTCTACTGCTCAAATAACTTCTTGAACTCTAGCCCCCTTATATTCATATATATATATATATACTGCTGTTAAGTTTTCATTCGTTTCCAGTCCACTTTGGAATATTACACTATTGGATTGCGTAACAAGTAAATATATTGCGATTCAAATAAGAATAGGAAAGCCAATGACCTCTATCTGTCAAATGTCGCTTGAAAAGTACGGTTTGCAAAAAAATACTTGGAACCCTTTTACAGCACTCCGCTAATTCAAGAATAAAAACCAAACATTTGTAAACAAACAGTAACAAATATTTATGATTAATATCGGTTGATATTTTTTTTCACTTATTGAGCTTTATCCATGAATGGTTGATAACCTAAATCGTCAACCAAATGTCACTAAGTTGCGTTCAGTAACTCGATTTGAAACTTTCGTTTACATAAAGGACGCGTGTTCGTATGTGACCTAGTAATAATGCATGATTATTCATAACTACTCCGGTGGTAATACAGAGATGAGCGGAATAGAAGAGCTAGATTCTGATTAATGTTTTTTCTCACAGTCTTAATAAATACATATTATTAAAAATCGGTGATTTTTTTCTAAATATTAGTAAATAAATGTTATTAAAAAATCTGATGCTTTTTCTCACTTAATCATAGTAAATAAGTTTTATTAAATAAAAAAAATCTTTTGCTCACTCTACCTATTTGGTTTGAATTGACAGCTATGACATCACAATATGGCGCCCAGTCGGTCCTATTCTTAGTTGAATCGCATTTTAACAACAAACATGTCTGTATTCATGAGTGAAACTATAATTTGTTAATTGCCTTTTTTATTGGTTTCAGGCACACTTTAAGAGATAAGAAGAATTAGAGTTAAGTGTAATATATTGTAAATGTCAAATTAAAATATACGTTATTGATAAAAAAAATAAATTATAAGGGGCCAGAGGTGTTGTTTTATTCTCTTTTGTTTTTTTTTTATCTTATGGTTGGTTATTATCAGATTTTTTAATTACACAGTAACCTGTGTAATTAAAAAATCTGTGCTTTTGCAACCATTTTCGATTAGTTAACAATCTAATTAACTTTAGAAAAGATAAAATGCCAAAAAAGAACTTCGATACCAAATCGCTAATTTTAAGATTTTTCCACCTCACTGTCTTTGAAGTCCGATTTTAGCAAAAGTAGCCCTTTAAATACTACTTTTTTTAAATGATTATGAAAGCTGAGAGTCTGGCGCAGTTTTTAAACTTACTTAGGAGCCATGAAACTACCTATTAAAATTTAAATTTAAAGATGAAATCTTAAGACATAATTCACTGATCATAATTTTTTCACTTTGCACCATCATTTTTTAAACTTCCATCATAGTTGCAAAGACAAAGGTATTAGTCATTTAAGTACAATTCATGTAAATTGAGTTGCAAAAAAATATCTCGGAAAAGACTTATCCAATTTTTTTTATTAAACTTTTAAGTTGTTTAGGTCATTAATTCTCAAAATTTTAGTAAAAAATTCATAACTCGCAAACTATAAAAAATCGCGGAACATACATGGGGGTGTTTCGGATTCCCCAAGGGGTGTTCTATCTCGGGACTACCGCTTGACACTACTTTTTGGGACACCCTGTATACGGCCGGGACCAACGGCGTAACGTGCCTTCCGAAGCACGGAGGAGCTCGAGATAGTAATTTTTGGTCACCCATCCAATGACCGACCACTGCGAAAGTTGCTTAAGTTCAACGATCGCATCATCTGGTCGTATACAAGGTTTTTCATTATTATGTGTGGGGTCATATGAAAAGCCTTGTATACGACCAGATGACGCCGATCGCAAATATCGATATTTTGCGACAAAGGATTTATTGGTGCGGCTGAGGATATGTGGCGGAACTTAAAAACTTCTGTAGTAAAAAGTAATTTAAGAAAAAGATTGAGAGTATATTGTGTTAGAAATAGCGGCGGCAATGTTGAACATGAATCATAATTTTGAGCAGCTCGATGGCGCAAGTGGTTAGCGCGTTCGGCTGCGATCGTTGAACTTAAGCAACTTTCGCAGTGGTCGGTCATTGGATGGGTGACCAAAAATTACTATCTCGAGCTCCTCCGTGCTTCGGAAGGCACGTTAAGCCGTTGGTCCCGGCCGCATCTGCAGTCGTTAGCACCCATCAATCCGCACTGGGACCGCGTGGTGGGTCATGGCCCAATCTCCCTATTCCATCAATAGGGAAGGCCTGTGCCTCAGCAGTGGGGACATTAATAGGCTGGTGATGATGATGATGATGCTTTTCTGGTTTTATACCTTTTTGAATAGCTAAAGAGACGTAGAAGTTTTTAAAATTATTTGCAGAATAAGTTCCGTACATTTTTTTTTTAGAAAAGTGCTTCAAAGTTAAGATTAGGGTTGCAACGATATATCGGAATATCGATAATATCGATAATATCGAGACCAAAATATCGATATTTATATCGATATTTAAAATTCACTAATATCGATATTATCGATATCGGAAATTCCAAAATATCGATATTTCGTAGACTAAATTTAAACACAATAATATCAATTAATTTACCTGCTATGACTATCTAAATTGAATAATATCGAAATAACTATTGCTTTGAAATCGCAAGAGCTTATAGATGTATTAAAAAAATCTTGAACCCCAAGAAATATACTAAACTGGTGTGGATTCTGATTTCTGCATGATTCTCTCAACCTAAAATTAAATTTGACAACAGTGTATCCTTGTCATTCTGTATAGAGAATGACAAGGACTGATGTTAAATTTAGTTTTAAGTTTAGATAATCATGCCAGAATCGACACCAACGTTTATAGGTATAATCGTATACCTAATGGTAACTCATGCACTTAAATAAAATCCTTGCCTCTCTTTCTAGATAATTGTCAACTACTGATTAATTGAAATTAAATATCATTGTAATATAACACAAAATAAAATTAAGAATCTTATACAAATCGTAAATTTTTAAGCTCGCTAAGTCAAGAAAGTAAGATAGGTATAGTAATTTTTAATGCTTACCCTATTCTGAAGCCATGGGCACGCCCCTGATGTGTGGGAGACTAAGCAATTTGCGTATTTGATGTGCGCTAAAAAACCGACGTAGCTTGGAAAAGCACGAATGTAGTGAAAACTTAGTGAAGGCATTCGCAAATGTCGTCCCACATATGCGGGTTGGCGCATTCGTGTTAACAAATGTGAGTGATCTGATCAGGATAATAATTTTAATTTTTTGGTTTCCTGTCGTGGCTGCAACATAAACAGTGCGAGCCAAAAAAAAATCCTGCTTGGCGCGATTTCATCAAGCGTGTTTAAAGAAAAAGCTGGCTCAATGCATTTTGCGAGAAACTCGCCAACAAACATATGAATGTGTCACACTCAGCCCGTATTCTAATGTCAATAAAAAAAAAGAAAAAAATATCGATATATCGATAATATCGAGTTAAAATGGTCGATATATCGGATATCGATATTTTCCTGACTTCGATATAAATATCGATATAATATCGATATTTCAAAAGACTTTGCATCCCTAGTTAAGATCACTTGGTGAAAATTCTTTAGTTATAAACGTTGTTGAGCAGTTTTTTTAAGCCGTTAGAAGTAGGTTCAGTTTTTATTCATTATTTTTATTGCTTGACATGTCTTCTAACTAGATACTTTAAAAAATCGGACCTTTGGAGCTCCAGTTTCAAAAAAATCGACAAAAACCCAAAAATTCTTTTTTGTAATTTTGAGTTTATTTATTTGATCCTAACTACCGTAAACTACCACTGGTTCCATAATTGGGAGACCTTTCTGAGCAGAACCGGCGAAACAAACTCAAGAGAGGCTTTCTATCTATATGTGGTAGTTTACGGTAGTTAGGGTCAAATAAATAAACTCAAAATTACAAAAAAGAATTTGAAATAAAATACTTTATTAAGTAAATTAAATAATAAATTCATACATAGACAATAAAACTTAAAAATCGAACAATGAATTAACCAAACGCTCAATAAAAGTCTTTCGAAGGTAGCTCGACAAATTAAATAAAAGTTTTATTCAGACGACGAAGCATGTAAAGGCTACGAAACGTCAATAAATAAATAAAGTTTCGTGCATTAACCCGTAAAAACTAGTTTTATTTAATGAACCTAAAACTAAAAACCTTATAGCGCTAGGACCCCACGGACCAAGGGTCTCGACACCGAATGGGCTAAAATCATTTTTTGTCTTGCACATGAAGATTTCGTACCATAAGGTTGAAAGTTTGAGATGCAGAGATAATTGACGACCTCCGTGGCCGAGAGGTTTGTACGCCGGGTTTCATAGAGTCGCCGACTCGAGAGGTCCCGGGTTCGAATCTCGGTGGTGGCAGATGTTTTTGTGATGAATACGAGCATTTGTACTCCAGTCATGGATGTTAAATATGTATTTGTATATAAATATACCTATATATATACTGTATATGTATTGCACAAGCCTTACAGTGCTTACTTTGGGGCTAGGCTAATTGGTGTGTTGTAAGAACGAGTAAAAAAAAAAACTTATATTTTTATTATTTGTTACAGGGGTTATAAAAATAAATACTTGTGAAACGTTCATCTACCATTATGGTTCATTAAACGCAGCACGCTAGCATGTGTCTGTCTCACCAATAGAAGAAGCCAATAGTTAAAATCTTGTTAAGAAGTCCGTCTCTCGTCGTAATTAAAATTTTACTAGAAATATTTCAATATAAATATAAATTTGCGCCATAAGTTGAATTTAGCTCTTATCGTTTTGAAAACTTGCATCTTGGGCGTAGATTATTCTCAGCATACTCACCAAACGATGTCTCTAACTT